TATTTTTTCATAAAACGAGAACATGTTAGTCTTATTTAAGATTGTCTTTTCTTTATTTTTAAATAACAGCTCATTTTTTAAACATTTTCAAGTTATGCAGATTTATAAAAAGTGCCACATTTAATAACATAAGATATGACTAAATTATTGAGTAATGACCATTTTTTGCGTTTCATAAGATATTTATGTCGATTATTACAATAATTACTCACTCCATATTATCGTTATCAAAGTAACAAGTAATTATTGATATTTTTTTATATAAACCCATTTCAGTATAATGTAAATTTAGTAAACGGGTTAAAAATAAAACGAAATTATATTCTGCAGTACTGGGCTAGGAGTATTTCTAGGACCTAAGAAAAACAAACCATGTTAATTTTCTCAAACCTTTGATTCAAACAGAATCCAGCCAAATGTGGTTTGGAACTATAAATGGTAGTTCGCAATGAGGTAAAACTTGTGGGCGTACCATAAAGGTACAGGATACAGAGGATCAGAAAACCATCCACAGCCGCAATAAAGATTATGCAACAAGAATTTATAAATCGTCATAAAACATTATTTGTAGTTGACAGGGCGCCAGGGAAGTTTATCAAAAGATTTGAACATGAAATAGAAACAGAGATTTTAAGAATTTTAAACCAATTCCATCCTCCCTATTCACCTGATCTAAACCCATGAGAATTTAGGCATCAAAATTGATTTAATTCAAAAACTTATTTGAAACAGTGAAAAATATGTATAAGCTGGTGACGTGCATCAAATTTAGGTGATCAGTTTGAACATGAAAAATAATTACGCGATTTTATTACAAAGAAACAAAAAATCTATATTTAATAGATCTAACACGCTTCCTAAGTGAGGTACAGAGTGTTTTATAATAATTTAATGATAGGTTTTCTAGATGTAAATTAACTGTCACTAATTTGACGGCTTATCATATTCTTTCCAAAAATGGTGTCAATCTGAAGGTGCCTTCCTTTTATTCCGACTTCTATCAAGCTTTCTATAAACCATTCACTATTAGGTACTACTTAAACTTAATCTTTTAAGTTTCTCAGAACCCTTGCTTGCATGGGTTAAAAGTTATTTACAGTTAGTGAAAATTGGTAGTACAGTCTGTTCGCTATACTTACGCGGGTTTCGCATTAACAAAATTATGCAAATTAGTCATTGTCAACCAATTCCAATTAGCCTCTTCCCAAGAAATTAGGTAAAATTGCCCTAATGTTCAGATTTAAATTAAAATAACATTAGGGTAGGTACTAAATTTGTTACAAATATTGCAGTTGAATTGATTCTTTGCAAGTGTTGACATTGTATGTTTATTGTAAATTTAGTGGAAATTTTAAAAATGCCTAGACGTGTGTTAGATGTAGAGAGTCTAATTTGTAGTGTACATAAGTAATTTAAGGATGAAAAAGAAAATCGGTAATGCCTGTACAACAACGCGTATGCGATGCTCTAGGAATTAGTGAAACCAAATTAAGAGGAGTAATACAAAATCACAATAGTGAACTGCCGAAAGAAGATCACCGTAAAATTCGCCCATCATTGAAAACGAAAGATATTCCAGATGGAAAGAAATTTGAAATTCGTGATACCATTTATCGAATTAAGGCCAACAAGGAACATGTGACCTTAAATACAATTCTCTCGGAATTAATAGATAGAAAATTTGACGACATTGGCAGAACAAGTCTATGGCAAGTGATACATAACTTGTGTTTCAAAAGGAGGATAACAGAAAGGCCCTTTGTGAAAAAAGTTCTGTCGTGCACAAGAGAATTAACTTTCTAAGAAAATATTCTAAATTTAAAGAATAAGGGACGAATTTTATATATTTAGACGAAACATGGATATTTTCTAGGGGTGCAACCAAGAGAATATGGCAAGATGATAACGTAAAGTCCATCAAACATACCGATGGAGAAGGGAAGCGACACATAATTTTACATGCAGGAGGGAAATCGGGTTTTATAGAAGGTGCTGATTTAATATTTTCATCTTAATCAAAATCCAGTGACTATCACGATAATATAAATACAGAAATGTTTGTAAAATGGTTGCATGTAAAACTACTCCCAGGTTTAAGTGAGCCCAGCGTAATTATTTTAGACAATGCACCTTACCATTCTGAAGTATTAAACAAAAGTCCAACGAATTCTTGGACTGTTGATAAAATTAAAGAATGGTTGACAAAGGAACATATACCATTTCCTCAATATATATTAAATTCAGAATTATTACGCTTGACAAATATACACGCCAAACCAAAAACCTTTGTTGTGGATCAGATTATTGAAAGTTACGGTCATCAAGTTTTACGTCTGCCTCCGTATCATTGCCAGTTTAATCCCATCGAATATATATGGGGAATAGCAAAACAATAGTATGACAACCATATTGGGCTTAATGTAGTGACGACGCAATTCGGGAAACTTGGAGAAAAGCACTTTCAATTGCAACTCCAGAAGTGTGGCGGAACTGTACATCCAAGTGCGAGAAACTAATAGAAGATTGGTGAACTCGTGAAAATAAAATATACGAAATAAGTCCAATCCTAATAACAACTAATGGTGATGACAGTTATGATATTTTGGATGATAATGACTGATTTTCATTTTTGTTGGCGAGTTCAATTTTTTTATTTTTCATTTGAAATTCTCTACATGGAACAAATTTTTATATTAGAAAATATTTTATTAATGAAGAAGTTTAATTCTGCTCTCAATTATACAAAAGATTCTCCATTATTATTTAATTAAAAAGTTGTACATTATTTTTCATTTCATTTAACCAGTTGATATTTCCCCAAAGAACAGGTCAAACTTTCGGGTATTTACTTGGAAATACTCATAAAAATTTTAATCCGAAACCCGCGTAAGTATAGCGAACAGACTGTAGTACTCCAGGCCGAATTGTGGTGTCTTCAGGTGTCCCACAGGGCTCTCACTTAGGGCCCTCGTTGTTTCTATTGTTCATCAATGACATTGATAGTATTTTTAAATATTTCAAGTTTCTACTTTTCGTATTCGTAATATGAATGATTGCCTTCTTTTCCAAATTGATGATTGGTCTGTGAAAAACTGTATGTATCTTAATATCTCCAAATGTTACATTCAGTAGGGAGCACAACAAAATAATTTTTGAATATTCAATTTGTGGTTCACTTCTTAATAGGGTCAAGAAGATAAACGACCTTACATTTAACCTCTTGTAAGGCTTTAAAAACTTTTGGAATTAGACTCGGAAATTCAAATTCTGTCACAATGGTGTATTGTATATATCACTTCTTCTCCCGAATAGTGACACAATCGAAAAACAATATTTTTTAGGAGAGCTTTTTTAATTGATAAAATCAGTTAGAAAAGGTATTAGTATGGAATTTTTATTAATTGGACACCATCAAATAAAATAATTTTGAAAAATAAAATCCGAATGACAAAATTTAAATATCTAAACTCAACTCCTGGCAGTCTCAGTTCCCAGTTCTCAGTTATCAGACGAGGGGAGCTTAATCTTTATCTTTCACTAAGACTACCACAGTAATGAAGGTTATAGATTTTATAGAAACGTGTTGGAACAGGTGAAAATAAGAATAAGTAAAATATAGTATGAAGTAAGCACTACAGTTAGACCTATTTTTGATTTTTGAATCTGCCTGTCATTGTATAAATTCCGATTTTTCCTTTAGAATAAAAACATCAGAATAATTCAAAACATCTGTTTTAATTCGATCAATATAAAACAACCTATATTATAATTCTGTAAAGATAACTATTTTGGACAAAACAGTGTGTCATCCACACTCAATCATATGTAGGTTCCCAGTCTGAATTTTTACATTTGAATAATTATTATTCAACTATTTCATGGGTTAATTGCATAACACAATTTTCTTGACTTATAATAAAAAATTGCTTTTAACATTCAGTCAACAGAAGCGTTCGCTTCTATAGGATTTGTAGAAAATTTTCTATCTTTCTTAAAATCAGTTAAAAAAAAATACACACCAAATCTAAATACCATAGATTGAGTTTACAGCTAAGCAGTATTCATTCATTTTGCAGTTCTACAATATAGGACGTTTCAGAAATAATTATAGAACATTTGAAAATTCAACAAATTTTATCAAACAATTTTTTGCACAAAAGTTGTTGTTTTTGATGGGATATATCAGAAGTATAATGGGCAGTAAGTGTAAGGTAGGTGAAGAATTCGGCATTTTTGATTATATTTTAATATGAAATACAATGCAAAATAAAATATACAAAAATCTTTAATAATGAAAATAAATTGCAATATGCCGAAACAATGCTTGCGATCTTATTTCAAATTAAATCAATTCAAATTGCCAGTGGGAGCATTAAATATACAACACACTGTAGATTTAGCTTGTACCAGAGATGAATTTGTAGTAATAAAATATCTTAATTATATTATTTAGTCGCGAGAGACATAAAGAAAGTAACGCGGTTGGTTATCCATGATTGGACCTCTACCGGTAGTGGGATAGCATGAATTGTTTATCTCATGAAGTCAGTATTTTAAAGTTAACATACTGAATATAGAGCAGAACATATTGTCCATTGGTTGATTGATTTGTGTGCTAAATAATAAAAACTCACAGGAAACTACTTCATATATTTAAATTCTCTAAAACCTTGTTGCTAAGTTTTTTAGATAAAAATCATTTTTGAGTTTTTACGATAAAAAGAAACGTTATTTTTGAACAAAAACTAAATAAATATCGTATTCCACGTGACCCCAGTAACTAAAAACGTATTTGAAAGAGCTGATAGTGCAACTACTATCAAGTCACTAAAAGAAGGGCATTTCCATTCAATTTTTTTATTTTATTAGATCACAAAGGATACTTTGTAGAAATAAGTATGGAAATTTAAATCCAAAAATCTTACCTGCTAAAATTAGCACAACGTTGCCACTTATCAATATGGCATAAAACGTATTAAATTTTAAATGTCTTGAATTTATTTTTAAAATTTATCCGTCTAGTTACTATTTTTAAGAAAAAAACATCCGCTGTGTTTTTTTATGGTATATACTTTTGATATTTTTTAGAGAACAGATGCTCCATTGTAAGGAGATTATTATTGTACATAAATGAATCTAGGGGATTTTATAAGTAAAAAATATGAATAAAAAACATTTTCCAACCAAGATACCAATCGATGAATTAGAAGAACAATTCAATCTAACAATCTAAATATTTATCCGAACAAATGCGACACTATGCTCTGCTTTAACGTCAAACTCTAATTTATCAGTAATTTTTTCTGCAACATCCTATATGCGTATATTATATTTGGAAACTCGCTTTTCTTAACGAATCGACAAATTTCCGCGCAGACTGGCCAACCAACAAAAAAATCACAAAGAAAAACATGATTCAGTCTTTGTACAACAACAAAAAAATACCTGACTAGGTTTCAAGCATCTTATCAAGAACTGGTGAGGTTATAGAAACATAGAAAAAAAAATCAGTGAAAAAAATCGCGTTTTAGATAACGCACACCTTTTTTTTTAGTCCCATGTCTCCGATGATTCCTCTGCTACATTGTTCGATGCACACGTTGTCGTCATGTTTTCGGTTTCTTCTACTTCGATTTCTTCAGTCCAAGGTATTTCTCCCAGCTGCTTCAGCTTTTTCTTGGCCAGCGCCTCTTTTTCTTCTTTGGTGCGTTCTTTGCGAAATTCGTAAACTAGGGGGAATATGTATTCGATGGCGGCCTGCACGTCGGCCACACTTGGAGCTGAAATTTTTACGTTGCATTACAAATTATGCACGGTCTACAAAAGGTCTAGTCCACAGAGTACACTACATATGCAATTTTTTTTTATCTGTTGATTTTTTGATCAGTAACAACATCCTATTAGCTCGTTGCCCATATTTGCCAGATTTATTCCGATACGTCAAAAATAAAATGCATGGTGGCGCATGATCAAGAGCGTTCAAGCATTTTAAATCACTTGTTTCGGTGATAGATACCTTTCTCTGACTGGAAAAAGATGCAAGAGTGTATAGAATTTAATGAGGAATATTTTGAGAAGCAATAAAGAAATGACAGCACGTTCCATACTGTTATACTTAGCATTGAGTGATGTGTTGGTCTACCGAATATAATCAGATACTTACTCTATGGACTAGTCCTTTTGCAAAGACTATATATTGAGGGATCAAATAGCCTTGAAAAACTGCTCACCGTTTTTAGAATAATTATAAAACACGGAAGCAGTGACTTTTTGTTTTAACAATCTCGTTTCCTTAAAAGGTAATTAAATTCTCTATAAAAATAGTGTTAAAGCATATTTACAATCTGGAAAAATCCTCGCTTGAAATATATCAGTCACACTGCGACCTAGAAGAAGTTTTCAATAAAATAAATAATCTATTCGAAAACTAAGATTTTTATTTTAACACACAGTTACACAATAAAGCATAGCCGATCTAACTGGCTTGAAAACTAAAGTTCGAATGTCCTAAGAAATAAAAAAAAAGGAAAGATGGCCAATCCTCGATATTGCTTCGAAAGCATATTTAAGAAGTCAAAAATGGGCATGTCCCCCACCTTGAAAGAGATAACTTTTAACAACCACTAACTAAAACTTCACAAAGCACATTGCAGTTCATCTTTAATGTCCTAAAGGAAGTGAACAGATTGCAACGACTAATATTCTCATGGAAGTAGATAAGGAGACAACCCTGGTGATGTCATCCGATCCAAGATGAAGCTGCACAACTCTTCCAAGAAGCCAACCCAAAGGAACCAGGTCCTTATTCTTTATAAGAACAAAAGTGCCAACATGGATATTAAACTGATTCATTTTCCATTTTTGTTGTTGCTACAACTCTGACACGTATTTTAAGGACCAACGTCGCCAAAAGTGTTGACGCAGCTGCTGAAAATGTTGGCATCTTGATAAGCGATTAGAATATCGGCATTGACATATTTAAGTCATGGATCAACCTATTAAGAAGTTAGAAGGAGTGAAAGAAAGAAGGTCCAAAGGATCTGAGGATAAAGCACATAAAAGATTAACTGCATTGTGACCGGATTTATGAGCACTTTGTTGGTATATGGAAGCTGGGTAGGCCAACTCACTAGCAACAGAAAGGCCATGAATTTCGATAGAATTTGAATTATGAAGAATGAACTTTTATCACGGGTGTGAAGTTATCCACATCAACAAATGTACACTGAGAAAAATACAGCTCCATTGTAATAGTCATATAACTTAGTTCAAATGACATGTAGAGACATTTCATTTGCAGATTTCAATTGGTGAGGTTTCAATACATAACAACCTTACCCGCAATTAACTTTTGCTCCGTCTGAGGGGGTGCAAATGGGGGTGAAATTTAAAAAAATCATAGAAGCCACAAATGGCATTATATACTTTTCGGCTTTGGATATGTTATGTTGTTTGTTCTTTTCTTCATATCTGATACCATGCTGGAGTTTGTCGAGCCGTCTGAAGGGGTGCAATTGGAGAAAAAATTTAAAAAAATCGTAGAAGACACAAATGGCGTTGTACACCTTTCTGCTTGGGATATGTAATGTAGTTTGCTATTTTCTTTATCCCTGATACCATGCTGGAGTTTGTCGAGCCGCCTGAGGGGGTGAAATTAAGGGTGAAATTTAAAAAAATCATACAAGCCACAAATTGCATTGTATCCTTTCTGCTTGGGATATGTTATGTAATTTGCTATTTTCTTTATCCCTGATACCATGCTGGAGTTTGTCGAGCCGTCTGAGGTGGTGCAATTAGGGGTGCACATAAAAAAATCATAGAAGCCACAAATGGCTTTGTACACCTTTCTGCTTGGGATATGTTATGTACATGCAGATAAAATTAAAGAAAGGCAATGGTCAGAAAATGTGGAGAATTTGGAAAATTTCAGAGACCTACCCTGTCGGATTTCTGATTTACTGTATCAGAATTCAGAGCTGCCTTGTCAAGACCAGGTGCTATTTTCTAATTAGTCAGGAGATCCGAATATTACAAATTGTGTAATACTTTCCACAATTATGTGATTTGCACATTCATCGGTTTATTATTAAACGAGTTGAAACTTGAAGATTTTGAGAGCTTGAACAGCTAACTGATTCAGTTTAAATTGTTCGTTGCATGTTATAACTAAAAAAAAGTTAAGTTCAAGTCTCATTAATTCATGTTGAACAATCTTATGCAAAGCATTGGAAAACTCCTGATATTTTCTGAAAAAATCATAATCCCACTTCATTTAAATAGGAATCATTGATGTCTAGTTATAATAGAAATTGATAAACGAAAATTCATTCTTATAGATCCTAGGGGCATATATTTTCAAATTATTTTTAACACAGTACGATACATATAAAAAAAAATTTCTTGTCAGATGTAATTTGGAAACTTTACACACCCCAATATTTTAAACAAACAGACAGTTTTAATTGTGGTGTTTTCATAATTTATTTTTCTCAGCAATATGTAGAGGATAAATCAAAATCATTCTGCAATGAAATAGATATGGCTGATAATCGAAAATCCATTAAATATATGCTATTGGAAGATTCGGAGAATGTTTGGAATATATGTATGGTATGTGACAAAACTGTTGATGAAATGACAGTAGGATGCACTTTATGCCAAACAAAAATAGTTGTGTCAAAGTTGAAAACAATAGCGTTTTATGTGAAGACTTAAAGTCAAGAGTGTAAAATTATTTTTTAATTCTGGAATAATTTTTTATTTTATTTTAGAGAAAACACATTCTTATAAGTATATTTTGAGTTATTTTTTTTATGTATTTTTTGTACCTACATTATAATGTACTTGTGTGATATTTTTTTAATTGGGGAATAATTTTTTATTTTGATTTAGAAAAAAGAAGTATATTTTGACTTATTTTTTTTTATATATTTTCTGTACTTAAATTATATTTTACTACTATCTATGATTTTTTTTTAATTTCACCTCCTCAGACGGCTCGACAAACTCCAGCATGGTATCAGGGATAAAGAAAAGAGCAAACTGCATAACATATCCCAATTAGAAAAGTTTACAAAGTCATTTGTAGCTTCTATGATTTTTTTTTAATTTCACCCCCAATTGCACTCTCCCAGACGGAGCAAAAGTTAATTGCTGGTATGGTTGTTATGTAATGAAACCTCCCCAATTGAAATATGCAATTGAAAAGTGTCTACATGTCATTTGAACCAAATTATATGAATATTACATTGGAGCTGAATTTTTCTCAATGTATATTTGTGGATGTAGATAACCTCACTCCCATAGGTCCACCATTTGGATTTGATTAAGAGAGAAATTAAAAACGTATATATGCTTGGTAGTAAGATTTTCGTCTTTCAAAACACCATGATGGGAAGATAACATTTGAATAAAGAGTCATCAGTGACCGTTAACATATGACCCATGGAAATATACTCCTCCATGAAGTGTATCGCTATTTCATAACGGGCGTATTTTTAAGCTTACGCTCGAAGCTGTAAAGCCTTTTATCGGTTTGAAGCTTAAAGAGTATTGACAGAATCTTTAAGAATTTGAATGATGAAATGTTCTTCGCACTTTAGAGAGGAGATGACCAGATGAAAATTCTTTGATTTAACTGAAACGCTAGAGCTGATTGTTGAGCAAAGACATTGAAAACTTGCAGAAAACCCCCTTTGTGATGATCGAGACTTGGGCAATGGACCAGAGATAATCCACCCAAGTTTAGTTTTCTGTAGGATGGACCTTTGATGTCTCAATTTTATTTAACCTACGCATAGAGTTCTGATCTTATTAGAAAATCCATTTCAGAGGGTTGATGAAAAATCTGATATCTGAATAATATTAGAAGAAATATTTATATTTTAAAACTTGGAATTTGATCACAAATTTTTTCTAATACCAAGCAAAATACTGAAGTTCAAAATAACGAATGCAATGACTAGGTTGATAAAGAACATTTGCGTTTTACGACAATCACAGAAATGTCAGAAGGTTCCACGAGAAGAGCTAGTTTACTAGCTAAGGCTGAAGTAATAAAATGCGATTCAGTGCCACTATCAAGCAATGCTCTGGAAATATGTGCAACTCCATAGTTGTCAAGAATCTGAACAACCACTGTGGATAACAAAATAGGTTTATTTTGGAATTTGCTATACAAAACGTTAGTAACTTAAGGGATTGACTCGATATAATCGTTTATTGGTCAATGTGGTGGATCATTGTGAGATATTTTTGCACTTGCCGTACTTGCATGTTACATTTAAATGACCACCATGTAAACAACTGATATATAAATACAAGTTTTTGAACTGGAAGTTTTTCAAATTCACTACAAGCAGATATTTTATGAAGGCAAAGGGAGAGTTCTACTTGTAGTCGATTTGGGTTTAAACGTCTTAGAGTTGTGCAATTTAATTTAAATTTTTCTAAAATATCTGCCTTATTTCAAATTAACTTTAAAAAATCAATAAGATTAGGATTTACACCAATGGAGTTCTTTTCCCAATCCTTTCCTGTATCGCTATCAATTTTTTTTTTATTAACATTATTAGCGATTCCCAGTGTATGACTGGTTCACCCAAAGCCTCCAGTGATCTGAGATGGCTCCATAATCCATCAATCAACTGACAAAAACTGTTGCAATATCCTCTACCAACGGGTTTTAGGTTAAACATAGCTTTAATATGATTATGCCGCAATAAATGTTTATTTGCATACCTATTATGAAGAAGTTGCCAAGCCACAGCAAAATTTGATGAGGAGACTGGCAGAAAAACGATACTTTTTCACGGATTTCCTATTAGGCAGGCTTTTTGAATAAAATTTACTTTGCTCTTTTGAATGATCACAGACTCGAATGAGTGAAGGACGTGAATTATTTACCCAAACTCTCAGAGTACATGGTTTTTGGCTCATACGCTCTTATTCCAGTTCCTTCTGAGGTTTTGGAACCATTTTTAAACCACTGAATTCCAGACTGTTCGATCTAAAACGCAATTGATTCTTGGATATTGTTAAGATTCTCAAATGTATTAAAATACATGCGGGTACACGTGGTTACCAAATGGTGAATGCAGGTGGCAACATTTTTAATAATCCATATCCCCACTCTCATGGTGTTATGACTGGATACAGGTGTACGCCAGATAGTTTCTTCAGTTTGTTCCATCAGGGGATTTACTCCGTTTGGTCTGACATAGAGTTACAATCGGATACAGGTGTTCGCCAGATGGTGTGAGCGGCAGCTGTCTATGGTCTTCCGACGCGTGCCGCGAATATACAGAAAGCGGTGATCTTGAAGGACATATCTTTTGCTATTTTGAACCATGGCGTTTTCTTATTGGATTTAACATGGGGAATAAGGCTAAATCCGTGCTGTTCATTTACTGTCCTGGAACTAATAGACTTCCGCCTGATAACTCCGTTACTGATTAGTCTATAGATAGTCATGTCTGCTAGGTGTAATATAGACAGTCATGTAACTTGCGCTCAATAGAAATTGCCGTACTGTAAGGTGGTTTTAAGCATATTTGACAAACATGAGTCCAAAAACATAACTGGAGAAGTACTTAATAAATTACCAAACACAAAAATTAAAAATATATGTGCAGAATATTTCTCTTTGTGTAGTTACTGCTCTGAAACTATATATTTTAATGCGTATAACCTTTTTGATAGAAAATTTAATTAACTTTAATTTTGTATACGGTAATTTTTTTTGTAAAATCACTAGATACTAAATTATTGCCGAAAATTTTTTATCGGTTCGTAATTTATACAGGGTTAGGATAAAGTATGGAACCAAGTAAATATCTTTAAAACGAAAAGGACGATATTTATGAAACTTTGCAGGCAAGTACAATGACGCATAACGCATCTGATGCCATATTTTTTGTTACTACTGTACTTCCGGTTTCACCGGAAATACCCTCAACTTTTTTAATTTAAAGGAGTATATTACTTTAACAAATAATTTCCACTAAACTTAGTAAGTACAAATTCGGAATAACAAGATCTTTTAAAATCTGCAAAAATATACAGGATGTCCCCTTTAAATTAAAAAAAAGGTGAACATATTATTTTTTGATGAAAAAACTGAAACTAAAATTAAACACTCAGATAAAACAAAAAAAAATTTTTTTTGAAGACAAATTGTAAAGGAAAGATTTCTCTAGAGAAGTCTTAAAAGAAAATTCTAATCGAATAAAAAATAAAAGCAGAATCCTTAAAACACTGATCATACTCTGAAAAATTTTTATTTTTTATTTCTGCGTTGTGATAATACTTTTTTGTTGATTTCATACTACAGAACTATAGTTTAAGTTACTATATAGCAACAAAAAAAATATCACGTAATTACCTTAAATATTAAGAACTTGGTGATAAAATAGATAAAACCTACGAATTTTATCTTATTACCGAAGCACTAGCTCTTAAGTAACTTTAATTTGTATTACTATTTCAAAAATTTTCCTTCGCTAGAGATTAGGTTTGTCCCTGATGAATAGAAAAATAAGTTTAATATTATTTAAAACAAATTTCCTACAAATATATATATTTTTAGCTCGTTCAGAATGGAATAGAAAAAATTATTAGGCAAAAAGGGCCAAATTCTTCAAAGTCAAACGAAAGAAATAATTTCACCCCTTATAAATTTTATGAAAAACGAGGCTGAACACGGTATTCAAATACCATTACACAAATACAGAGAGAGAATTTTAGGCTACAGGGATTTTTAGAAGCAGTTATTCTAGAATTAAGAAGATGACTGGTGAAGTAAAAAGTGGAGTTAGTACTTCATTTTCACAAAGAATTGAATGAAGAAGTTTATTTATAGTATTTACAAATAATATTTCACATCTACATATATGTACGTCCTTAGAAATCTTCGCCTCTGTTCTCCAGCCTGGGCAGGAGAAGTATGGACGATGTCTCGTCCCGTAGTTATTAATGCAGTATGCTTAATGTGTGATATTTTAAGGTGCCATCTCCTTATCCCGAAAAATATTATATGGCATTTATGATTGTTTAGTTTGCGTCGGTAATGGAACTTTCCTCTTTGTAATTTTGTCTGTTGTTAGTTGTGTATGTTTTCCCGGAAAAAGCGCTAAGAAAAACAGGGCCGGAAGAGTTGGAAAAACTCAGAGGTATAATCCATCATTTTCATATTATTGAGAAAATACTACCCACTCTAAATTGTAAGTTACTATTTTGATTATAATGGCAACGTATTTAATATAAATATTATTTTAGATATATTACAAAAAATCAAAATAATTAATTTCTCATAGTCAATTTTTGTACGTATAAAATTACGTTTATTTTTTCAGGTGAAAAAAAAAATGAAGACAACAGATCTGTTCTGTTGGAATCCTACGACATTAGGAATAAGAGGACAAATTATTTAAAATCCTTAATACATGATCGGCAAGAGGGCAGAACTATTTATTATTATGATGAGACCTATTTACATAGTAGTCATACACATTCGAAAGAATGGACCGATGGCAAAGGCAAATTCAAAACTCCAATGAGCAAGGGGAAAAGGCTCATAATGTTGCATGCAGGGAGTAAGAATGATTTTGTAGAAAATGGACTGTTGATATTTACTTCAGGTAATAATCTATTTTTTATAGGAAATTATTTATTATTTGCGTCTTTACCTACTTCATAAATACTTATGATGCTTAACAATCTAAAATTATGATCAGCTTAAATTTAATTTAAACTGTTAAAGTATCTAATTAACAAGTAATTTAAGTACTTAATGTAGTGGTTTATTTTATTATCTTCAGTTTAGTTAAAAGATCTTTACCTGTACTTAATACTTTATTGTTATACAAGGGAAAGTTTTTAGTAATAACTTTTTCTTAGGATTATTATAATAAGTCTTATCATCTTGAAGAAATATTTCTTCTAAAAACAGATTATTTAAAATTCCTAATAATTTTTGCTTAACTAAAAGTTTTTTGTAAGTTTAAGTATCATACAAAAATAATTATGAAAAATATACTTGCATTATAGATAATAAATTCTTTTTTACTTTTTTCAGGGAAAAAGACAGGAGATTATCATGATGAAATGAACTGGAATAATTTTTCCCAATGGGTTAGAAGGCAGTTACTACCAAATCTTCCTCCAAGGTCTGTACTTGTAATCGATAATGCAAGTTATCATAATGTAAAATTTGAAAAATCGATTACAACGTAGACCAAAAAAGCAGATTTAATTAACTGGCTCGTTAAAAACAATATATCACATGATGCTAAAATGACCAAACCAGAACTGTACACATATAAAAGTTCACAGACCTCCACCGAAATTCCTTTTAGACGATCTTCTCAAAGAACATGGACACAAAGTTCTACGATTACCTCCATATAATCCCGAATTAAATCCCATAGAAAAAATATGGGCCACAGTAAAAAATTGGGTGGGTCAACATAACACAACATTCAAGTTGGATAATGTTGAAAAGTTGGCAAGAGAAAAATTCCGAAGCATAACGCCGGAGGAATGGGCAAATGTGGTGGACCATTCTGCGAAATATGAGAATGCATATATTCAAAGAGAACACCTTATAGATGAATTTACAGATTCCCTCATATTTAGTGTAAACACGGGGTCATCCGATGAGTGGGAATCCGATATTTCCGACTTGGAAGATGATGAAAATGTTTAAAATTATACAAATTAAATTAAAATATATTATTTATTTAAACTTTTAGTTGTTTTATAAATTTTAAGTTCTTCAGCAATTTAACTAACGAATAGTTAAAACTTAACATTAACTTATTAATATGTTCGATTTAAAATATTTTATTAATGTACACACGCCACTGCTAAGATACCAGGTACCCTTACCGCAGCAGTTTTCAGTCCAACGCCATCAACTAAAGCTCCACAAAGTTATGACGTACTGCGCGAACTGTGGCATAGCTATGACGAAATGTGCTCTTCACAAAAAAAAATCGATCTCCTTTTGCTTGCAAAGTTTCATAAATATTGTCCTTTTCGTTTTAAAGATATTTACTTGGTTCCATACTTTATACCAACTCTGTATATTTAAAAGTGTATATGTTTCTAGCATCGAAGCGAAATTGATAAAACAAAAAACACTACGTTTTTTCGGAAAAAATAACCGACTGGATCATAAAAAATTGAAATTATTTGAATTATTAATCAAAAACAATAGCATTTTAAAAAATAGCGATAAAAGTGAGACAAAAAAACTATTATTGTCTTGCTGTAAAAAAAAGTTAGATAAATATACCAATAACGTAAAGACAATCATTCATTATCAATAATAATTATATTTACCAATTTATTATTATTCATAAATATTTTAACGTCATACTTTTTGTTCAGAAAACGAATTTCCTAAGATGATGAAATATGGAGTAAACAAAAATATGTTTTATAATCTAGCAATTATTATTAAAGGCATTATTAAAGTTAAAAAAAAATAATTCCAAGGTTGATACAATAAAAAAACAATAAATACACTTACCAGTTACAGTTACACTGCCCGTAGAAAATATCTTCAATGTGGCTTTTGGTGATTTTAGTTTATAAGTAACTCCAGGATGAAGTTCGGGTTCATAGCTGAAAAAAATATTGCATAATTAAAAAAAAACGTACTTATATACCTATTATGAGTGAATTGCTTGGTATCAAATTATCAAATCCAGTTTAACATTAATAAATTTCTGGTCATTTTCCGAATAAAATTAAGTTTCCTGTAAAATAGCTAATAGTTGTGCATTACCAAATATTCAAGTAGTAAGCAGTGTTTCCCTCCCTTTTGTGGCGATTGTACGTACTGCTTTTTTTTATTATGACTATTATTTTCTACGCCTAGCCCCAACACAGTCTTTGGGGAGCCCTATGGCTCCGCGGAGCACATTTTAAGTAACACTGTTCTAGTAAATTTATCAAATTTCCTGGACACCATATAGATGCTTCGATAGATTATATTCTAAAAGGGTCAATCTCAGAATTTTATAATTTAGGCAAAGAACGTTTAGAGTCGATTAACGTTATAAAGGAAATGTTGTTTTACTATACAATAAAAAGTATATATTCCAGTAATAATTAAAAGATGATGAAAATACTTCTTGTACCTATTACACGTAATCTATGATGAAAATTGTTTATCAAATTGAACAGATAAATCACTACTGTTAGTTATATTTCTTGCTTTTCAAGAATCAAGTGAGCAATTTTTCAGCGCCAATTCATTTATGTACTAATGGACTATTTTTGCCTATACTGACAATACAATTTTTAATAGAATTCGTAATTAAAAAGTGTATGTGTTGGTTTTAATAAAAGTATATGGATTTGTAAAACAAGTAAAACATTAATTTATTATTATTATATATTTTTATCGCTTAAATAAATTAAAAGTATATATGTCTTCTTCCATTAATATCAAAAATATTGTTATATTATATATTTTTCTTTTTTAGTTTTTGTTAGTATTTTTACAATTTTCAACACAGCAACTCCAATTGCTTATTGTATTGTTATTACCTAGTAAAATGTATACGTGTATTTGATATGTCAAAATTATAAAATATAGCCCTATAATGCACGAATTATCCGCAGCTAGCGCTAGTATCGCTTTTGCTTCCCATACCATGACTTCGCACTGAGCGAATACGTAAGGGACAGTTGTGAAATTAAAATTTATTTTTATTACATGTATAATTGAACTGTCAAACTGTCAACATTATTAGGCATTCCAAACAAAATGGCTACCAGTGGGTTTTGACAGGTTATGATATGGAAAATTATGGCAGCCCTGCGGCCTAGTGATTTGACAGGGTCAATGAAACAAATAATTGTGGAAACCGAACAATCTACCCGCCACTGAGTTGAATTCCCGACCAGCCTAATTCACGAATAAAAATAAGTTCAGTTAGATATAGTTATTTGAAGTGAAATATTATTGTATTGTTTTGTATTAGATTTCTAAAGATTGTTAAAAATAGTTTATTGTTAAATGGTGTTTTAGTGAACTACGAGGACATTTAGGGCACCACAGTTATATAGATTGATCATCCATGTTTTTCCAAATAAACATAAGCGCATGCCTTGAAGTAAAAATGTAGTTAGTTAATTATTTTTTTTACTATATTAAAAGGCTGAAAATTGGTTTGTAACAACATTTTTACTAAATCGATTCTGATAAATGAGCACTTGCGGCCAGCCGCTTTGAGCAATCTATATAACTATATATGTATCATTGACAACAGGCCCACAGGGTTGCCATATCTAAACTGTCAGTTGGAATGCCCAATTATTTTTGTGTTTAATAAGCAAATTTATTTTCGATTTTTACAAGTATAAGAAATTAAAAATTTAAAAAACCGACTTCAAAAACGTGCAGATGCCATCACCACATCTTAACCAAATTTATATGGGACCACCCCTGAGGTACCCCCTTACTAACAAAAAAAGAATCATATAAATCGGACAAGGTAGTAAAGCATTATCGCTAAACATACAAAAAAAAAATTAAGATTTTAAGGATTTTCTCATAGACCCAATTATTAGATTTTGACCAAATTTATATGGGACCACCCCTGAAGTACCCCCTTTCTAACAAAAAAAGAATCACTGAAATCGGACACCGTGTTAAAGAATTATCGCTGAACATACATAAAAAAAAATATCGCGACGAATTGATAACCTCCTCCTTTTTTGAAGTCGGTTAAAAAACCATTATAAACAATTAAAAGTTATTATTAAGAAAAAAAATTTTTTTTTAAACATAATTGGCAATTGTCTACAAAGTTGTAAAAAAAAATTTGAAAAAAATTGAAATAATCCATTTGTTTGTAAAAAATTTATAAATATGGAGGAAGAAAAAATGTTTTTTAATTAATAAATGTCTTTTCTCGACAATAAAACAGCAATATTATAATAAATTGAAAAAAAAAATTTTTTATAGCATCACTGTGACTTTTGTTTTTGTAAACTTTAAAAAAATATTATAAAGTATTAACATTTTTTAAACTTTTATGAAGCTATTTTGTTTTATATGTATATAAAAAGAGCTCCACGAAGCAAAAAACATTTACGGTAATTATTTAATATTTTTATCAATTTGTAATGATGAGAGAAATTCTAAAAATTTTGTTAACAATAACCTACTTTGTTGGAATATGAATTTTTATGAAAAATTCCAACGGGAATGAATTCTTCTAAGTGTTTAGAATACACCGTAATTTTTTTAAATTTTTGAATTTAATTTTACTAACTTAAAAAAATTATTTTATGTAACGTACTCGGTTTCGACGCCGTGCGCGCAACCTGAAAATGGCGCGCTGGAGGCTACTTTGAGCGTTAAATTAAAATTATAAATAATGCAGGTACAGTTCCGGGAGTAGGAACTTATTTATAGCAAATTTCCTCCTCTTTAAGGATCTTTTTTGAAAAATCCAAAAATATTTATAGTTTACAAACTATAGGCAAAAAACCAAACACCATGTTTTTGAGGTGTTTCATTGTTTATAACTTTTGCAATTTTTTATGTACTGCAAAATGTTTCTTCATACATTGATCTAGACATTATTCCGAATCGAATGAGCTATTGAACATAATTTTCGTAATAGTATGTCCCAAAAACACGCTTTTGAACTTGTTGATTAGACTACTTCATTTTTATGTATGTTTAGCGATAATGCTTTACTACCTTGTCCGATTTATGATTCTTTTTTTGGTCCCATATAAATTTGGTTAAGATGTGGTGATGGCATCTGCACGATTTTGAAGTCGGTATTTTTAAATTTTTACTTTCTAATACTCGTTTCTCTAGTTACTGTTTGTCGACGCTTTGTTAGACCGTGTATTTGGGGACATTCAAGTAATAACTAAGTAAACTTTTAATGATTTAGACCCCCCACCCTCCTGTATAAACAAAAATAAGAAAATCGTGGATCCCCTCTTTTAAATAATAAAACGTAAGATTTTTCAATCTATTATCAAGCTTCAAAATTAATATTTACTTGTTTAAATCCATTTAATATCATAGTACGTCTGGGGTTCCCGGAATTGAACATCGATCATCCGTACTTATTTATACTTAGTAGTGTAGTGTTAGATACAATTCTCGGAATACTTATTTATTTCTAATAAGAAATATGTAAAGAAATTCCGCATAACCATAATAAAAATAGTATTACATAGCAAATTAAATTACACATTTTATTTTGAAAACATTTTCATTATTTTGTAATTTTTTATCTTACGTATGATATACTAGCTGTTGCCCGCGGCCTCGCACGCGTGGAGTCGTGTTTTTAGTATAAAAAAATGTATGACTTCCTAAAAAAGGACGCGATAATATGTTGTTTTACTGTTCACGGTATGTTTGTGATAGTATTATAGATTAATGTTAATTAGACTATTCTAATATTTAAATATATTAATCTAATTGATAATCTCATACGGCTCTCATCTGCTAATATCACCAGATTGCACGCAGTACGTAATTTTATTTATTTTTATTCCCCCCCCCTTAAAATGTGAAAATCCAAAAACCATGAAACAATTCATTATTTATTTTTGATCAGTAGCTGTATTTCAAATTTTCATGTTTTTAACTTTAAGGAACAAAAAAAATATATACATACTTTCAAACAAATTTTTACCCCCCCCCCCCCCCCCCGGTTTCCCCCTTAAAATGTGAAAATGCAAAAACCCTAAAAGACTTCATTATTTATTTATGCTGAGAACCTACAATTCCAATTTTCAAGTTCCTACTTTCAAAAAAAGTCGATATTTTCAAATAAACTTTCATACCTGGTCCCCCCTCTTAAAATGTGAAAATCCAAAAACCCTGAAACACGTCTTTAATAATTTGTAGTCAGTAGCTGCAATTCCATTTTTCATGTTTCTAACTTCAAAGAGAACAAAAAATCTATAGTCCCATACAAAATTTCACCCTCCGTTTTCCCCCCTTAAAATGTGAAAATCCACAAACCCTGAAACACGTTATTATTTATTTATGCTTAGTAGCTGTAATTTAAATTTTCATGTTTCTAACTTTAAATAACAAAGAGTTTTATCTCGAGTTTTATTAAAAGCTCCCTCCACCCATTTCCCCCCCCCCCCCTTTAAAGTAAAAATTTCCGAAAATCCTTTCTTAGCGGATGCTTACATTATAAAATAAACATCCTATGTTCCAAATTTCAGCTTTCTAGGCTCAGTAGTTTTGGCTGTACGTTGATAGGTCAGTCAGTCAGGACAAACAATTTTACATATACAGTGAGCATCATAAGTCTTACCCCCCTGTCTAACTCGTTACTGGAGTCTTGTTAGGAAAATCGCCGAGACACGTCGATTTTTGATTTCTACAATGTACATTTTAGTATGAATAGTTTACTCTTAATTTCATCCCTTACTGGAAAGGAGCAACCCTTTCGAAAAATTTAAATGGCATGGGGTGGTGAGTGATAACTCATTTGAAAGGGGGTTTTATTCTCTATTTTACCGTGCAAAGAAAATTGAAATTTGCTTCATTACGTGTTGATTTATTAATGTTTAAAAATAACAAAACACAAATAGGAAAGCAACTTAACTAACAATGACCTTATCTAATAGCAAAAAGTCTTACTTCACGTCTGAACCAAAATCGATATCATGCAGGGACGAATTTTAATTCTAAGGATGAGTGCACTACGTTAATTTCCTTTATTCTGAAACAATAATTAGTCGAGAATTAATGAAGCAAATTTCAAAATATTTTTGCACGGTTGAATAGAGAATAAAACCCCTCTCAAATGAGCTATCACTCACCACCCCATGCCATTTAATTTTTTTGAAAGGGTTGCTCCTCTCCGGTAAGGGATGAAATTAAGGGTAAACTATTCATACTAAAATGTAAATTGTAGAAATCAAAAATCGACGTGTCTCGGCGATTTTCCTACACAAGACTCCCGTAACGAGTTAGATAGAGGGGGGTAAGACTTATGATGCTCACTGTATAGATAATACATGTCTCCCCGTTCCCTTTTTCAGCAAAAATAAGAAATTGAACCTCCGCCTCCTAAGCCTGCTTACGTAATACTTTAACGCCCCCTTTATGATATTTTAAGATTTTAGGAACGGATTAGAAAAGTTTGTAATTTTACCCAAAATGAAACTGATTTTTTTTTTTTAATTTAACACAATTGAAAGAAATGAACAAACTCTTTTGAATAACCATATCTTACATATACAATTTATTCATACATAATATGGTTTATATGCGTTGTCCTTTCAGGCTATATGATCTTCATGAATATACCTAATCAATGATTTCACCATCATTATCAAAAATATTGTCTTACTGTGTTATCAGTAGGATAAAAAATCCTTTGCCATTGGATGCCGTATTAAATATCTACTAGTCTAGTCTTTAGTCATCTCATCTACCACATTGTCTTAGGAGGTAATGCCACTGATAAGGATAAAGTAGGTATGTATATCTGAAAAAAGAATTATTCGTTTGATTTTTAATCTAAAAGCTCGTGATTGGTGTAAACTTATATTTCAAATTAACAGATATTAACATTTTATTTATAAATTATTATTTTAGTTATTATTTTAGTGCCTACCTACATATTCTATTCCATACATTTATTTTATTTTTTTATTTTTTATTCTAGAATTTTTACAAATTCAATATAATTATGAAAGATAAAAATTCTAGATACGGTGGAAAAACGTTTAAATCTAGTGGTGAGCCTAATATCTAAGGGTAAAAAATTGCATGCTTTTGGCAAAGTATGAATAAAAAATCTATGACTAATATTTTTTCTAAATCTTTGGGTTACTCTGATAAGTTCCCTAAGGGTGTTATTACTTAAGTGTGTTTGTTGCTCTATTGACTAAACCATTGAGATTTTTTTTGAATTTATCAACTGAGAAAGGTATTTTTCCAGATTCTTTAAAACTAGGTAAAGTAGTTACTATTTACAAAAAGGAAGATCTGAATGATATTAATAACTATAAACTAATAGGTATCTTGTCAACTTTTTCCAAAGTATATGAGTTGAATATCAAAAATCTATTATGTACCTAATTTTTTCACTAAGTTTAAGCTGTTATCGCCGTCACAACATCGTTATACTTCAAAAAAGAGTACAGAGACTGAATTGATAGTTCCATACTAAAATCGTAAGATCTCTTGATAGTAGGAAGCATGTAATGGGTTTATTTATTATTTTTTCTAAAGCTTTTGACTGTGTGGACCATAAACTTCTACTGCTTAAGCAGTCTAAATATGGGGTAAGAGGTATATCACTTGACTTATTGGAATCATATTTATCAAATAGGAGACAAATTGTTCAAGTAAATAATGTTCCTAGTTTGGAGCTGGAAGTTTCACAAGGTGTTACCCAAGGATCGATTTTGGGTCCAGTTTTATTTTTAGTTTTTGCCAACGACCTAATCACTTCCTTGAATGCTATACCTGGAATATACCCAACTTGTTATGCTGATGACACATATATTTTAATTATCGAAAATAATGCAGATGCACTAAAAATAGCAACAGAGAGAACATATGATCAAGTTTTATCCTGGTCAGAAAAAAATAACATAAAATTAAACAAAACTAAAACTAATATAATATTATTTAATAATAATGGACAATTTATACAAAACCAATTATTTGAAAACACTAATAATCCAATTATATCTAAAGAAAATATTAAAATATTAGGAATCACTATTGATTATGGTATAACCTGGAATTCACATATTGATAACCTGTGTAATAAATTACAAAAAAGTTGCTATAGTCTTAGATTTCTTGTCAATCATTGTAGTAAAAGTACACTCTTAACAGTGTATCATGCAAATTTTCACTCTCATTTGAAATATGGCATACTTAATTGGGGTACCTGTTCTACCAAGCAAAGAGTTTTTGTTTTTTAAAAATATGCCATAAGAATTATTGCAAAACTGAGAATAAGTGATTCATGTAGTTTTTTAAAAAATTTAAAATTCTGAGACTGGCTGGGGTATATATATTAGAAGCATGTACTTTCATTCATAAGAACAGATCAATATATGTTGCTGAGCGAGTATAACACAAGAAACAAAAGCCAATTACTAATACCTAGACACCGTATGGCACTTTTTGAAAAAAATCTACAGTGTATGGGTTGTAAATTTTATAATATCCTTCCAGAGGGAGCAATGTCTAATGTAAAAAGTTTTATTAGAGAAAAACTGCTATTCCATAGAAGAATATTTTATATAATAATTCATGTTTTTGTTAGGTACTTGTTTTTTTTTTCTTTTTTTAATTTTTTTTAGGTATATGATTTTATGTATTTTTGTAATTACCATGACATGTTTCACAATAAACGTTGTATAATTTTTTTACAATTTTCTTATAAAATGAAATAAATAAATAAAATAAATAAGTCAAGTTTGCATCAAACCATTATGTATGAACTATTGTGTCTAGTTTTTATTGCACTAAATGATAAAACTAAAAACTGTTTTAATTATTTTTTTTTTGACTGATGAATACTTTTTTATCTTGCACAATGGTAAACCTATGTGTTTGTTGTGCAATAAAACAATTTTACCCTATTTATTGTAATCTTTATTAACACTTGTCAAATTTTATAGCCTTGCAAAATATTGTATAGCACAAAACCGGTCTTAATGAATAATAAAAATTTTATATGTGGGATAGATTTAGAGTGTAATTTTCTCATTACAGATGGGCATATTTCAGAGGTTGGAGACCATTCTTAGTTTAAAAATATGTGTATTTGTAGCACTATATGAAGAGTAAAATTTCAAAGTTCTCTTTACACTGCTTCCTAGTTTCCTACACTCTGTTACTCAAATGAACATTAACTTAAGTTTAAATACTTGGTAAAATTGTAGTAATAATAATAATAATAACTTTATTTATCAAAGATAATACATAATAATTCAAAATAAACCAACAATTCAATATAAACATGAACTTCATAGTTAATTCAAAATCAAAATAAATATAAACATAAAACTTAACATAACATAATTGTCCCTCATACATATAATGAAAAAAAGAGAAAAAAAAATAGAAGAAACAGTAAATATAGGTATTTAACATAACAGATTGGTTAAGAGTATAATAACTAAAAGAAAAGAGAAAAAGAACAATTTTCAACTATATAATTCATAAATTATTTTTAACATAAATAATAAGTTATTTATTAAATTGACTAAGTAGTATTGTGAACATTTTTAAAATTTTGAGGCAGACAATTGAATTTATCGATCCCTTTAGGAAATAAGTTTTTCATAGAACTACTTTTATTAGTTATTTGTATATAAAATTTGATAGTTTCCTGCTGCTCTTGTGTTTCTTTGATGTATTTCTGTGACAGGGATTAGTTTACAGTTAAGATATTCAGGCAACAAATTGTTTTTTATTTTAAATATTAAAACCATTTTTCATACATATAGGAGTTTTTCAACACTTAACCAATTTAAGGCTTCTAACATAAACTGAACCTAGGTTGAACTATGATACAGAAACTCTATGCTGATTCCACAACATAAATTTAGTGTGTTCAGAATTCTTGTATAAGAGTTATTTTCTATCTATGAAGATTAGATCATATGTCAGAAAAAATATTATAGTTGGGATGGCTGAATATGTATAATTGAAAAAAAAAGTGCATTTAGCTTATTTGGTTTATAAAGTATGACAAATTAAAAAACTCATTTTATATATTTAACCTATTTGCTGTGGACAGCCCACTGCTTCTGTAGCATATAAGAGATACTGTAAAGAACATCGAAAGAAACCATTGGTCTCCTACTATAGAAGCATTGGGCATATCTCGATGCTGTCCCCAGAAAAAGGGTTAAAAATTAACTGTCATTATCTTCCATCCATAACCCTGTTAAAAGGTACATATATCTTTTTGTAGTTATTAAACATAAAATGTCTCTTTATCAGAGATCCTTTTCTTATAATGCTAGCAAATTATTTTTTGGGAACAAAAAGAAATACATTATCCTCATTGGGTAATCAGTTAGGTGGAGCAGGCTACAAGCTGGACTTCACTGAGAATTTAAAGATAAAGACCCTTTGTTATTATTAAACAATGGAATAACTCAAAAATGTGTAAATAGTAAATAAATGTACTTACTCAGCTTCTCTATGCCTTTCTGAAAACGAACTGATTTTTATTGAAAATGGCATGGAACATGTCCCAAGTACATTGACAACTCTATAGTTATTAAACCGTGTGTTGAAACCAAGTTTTTGTAAACAACGGGCGAATCTTCTAGCAGCTTGTTTAGCGGCAATTTCACTAGTCGCCCCAGTACAAGTAATCTTGCCCGAAGACCAAATACTTGCAGTTGTATAAGGTCTACGTAGTTTCATTGTAACCATACCATTTTCTTTACGATATTCGACATTCGCTCCCGACAGGGCTATTTCACGGAGGTTCAAATGACACCGAACACTAAAACTACAAACTACATTGTTTATTACTATGTCTATTTCAGGTTCTTCAATAGTCTGTTCTGTTTCACATTGTTCGTTTTTAGTTTCGCACTGTTCCTCACTTCCCTCATCGATTTGAGGCTTTACTTCATCATTAACAACTTGTACTTGCTCAAAACCATTTATATTTTGTACCTGGTGTACTAGGCCATTGCCGTTTGACAGTGGTTTGATACCATTCTTTTGTATAACTGTAGCCATAGTATAAATTCTTGTCTATTTAATATCTCAACGTCTTTACATTATTCGACACGGTTAAACTTATTTTAAAGTAATTGCGTTTGTTCAAAGTAGAAGCGCTAGACCACACAGGAAGGACTCTAAATAAATAATTGTAATTGATGTACAAGTACTTGAATATTACAAAAAATTTAATTTTAATGTCTAAATACTGGATATTTGTTGCAATTAATAGTAAATACACTTCTATCCGAGCCAATTTTAAGACATTTAAAACACTAGCCTTTGTAAGAAGCCATGACACACCACGGTAAACTCAGTCCAAAATTGACTGATGATGGAATGGAAAATGCATGGAAAATGGAATGAACACGAGCATGATCAGATGTCAGGAACACGGACCACGAAGTTCTAAAAATCGGAAAAATCGCGAATTTGAAATGTCAACTGTCAAATAATCTCCACAATTATTTTTTTTTTATTTTAAAAATATATTAAGTTTATTCAAAACTCCAAAACAATTATTCCTCTTTTTGGAGAAAAGTAAAAATGAAATAAAAATGAACTTTAAGGGTTTTTTGCTGGCAAAATTGAAAATAATTTCAAATTAGCTAAGTTCGGTAATTCAAGTTCCTGTACCTCCTCATACACAGGAATGGTTCTCTCATACACGCACGTTCTGAAAATAAGTGACAGTTTATCATGCATAAATGACAGATGAATGATAGTTCAAGAAAAACCCAACTCCTGTTCGGCAGCTTATATTATGTTACTCTGTCTTACACAGTTATTTTATTACACTTCCTTTTTTATTATTACACTACATTTGACTAGAGTGGATTTTGTTAAATTCTCAATCTCAACATCTCAACATTCTCAACTTTGTTGATTTGATGTTGCTTGTACTGCGTCTGCTTGATGCTAGCTAGATAGATGTTTTTTCATATTCGGAATCGGAATTCGCATATTGCATATTTGCAGTCGAAAATTATTTTAAAACATTTGTTTGTGCTTAGTAAGTAGGTAAAGTGATCATAAACTGTTTTAAACTAAAGTCCTAAAACCTAAAATAACTTAAAAATGGGTTCATAAATAACCATTTTCTTCCATAGTGTAATGCTTAACCGGTTGCTTTTAAACAATAATTGTAAAGAATGGCAAAGTTTCATTTCCTTCTAGATTATATAAGAAATATCTTTAATCCTCCAGTTATTCTTCAGGAAAATAATAGGAAAAGGAGGTAATAATAATAATAATTTTAAAAGCATACCTAGGTTCTGATTTGGCAAAATTTAATTTCTTTTTAGAGCTTACGACTCTGTTGATAGCTTGCTGAGTCCTAAATGTAGACGATTGCAATCGTCTTTATCAAGAGACTTTGATTTCGATCGTAAGTAATTTAAATCGGTGAATTGAGAATTGAATTGAGATTTGTAATTATATTTATGTTGAAGGAGAAAACTACTATATAAGTCCGCTACCCCATAGAAGAACCCCAGTATACAAAACTCCACAAAGAAAAAGTATGGATACCATAGTTTTAGATGATGACGACGTCATAGAAGTTAAGAGATATTCAGTTGGCACCTTAAACAGTAAGGGTACTAAATTCACGTCTACTCCGCAAGATGATGTTCATAAAACTACTTTAAATGGATGTGATGATGAATTATCTTTTGTGAGAGAATTCAAATCTCCATCTGCAAAGAAAATGGAAGCCTCGAGAAATGGTTTGAATTATATAAAACCTTTTTCAAGTTAGTACCAATGTTAATAGGTATATATTTATAGTTTTAAGTTTTTTACATATTCTGAAAACATTTTTTTATGAATTAATGAAATAACTAATAGGATAATAATTGTTAAATGTCTACTTTGAGTTCTTGTCAAATATTCAAAACATATGGGACTCAGGGGACTATCACAAGCACATTTCTTGTAATAATAATTTACTTTATTGTCAGAGATAGAATTCCATTGATACAGTTTAATACTACCTATGTAATTAATTTTGTAAAAGATTCACAAGAAAAAGTTTTATTATTTGGAGTGAGGGTAGCCATATGTGAGTAGTAGGGATTAAGTGTAAGGGTTAAAGAAAAGGTCCTTTATTTCTCACAAGTCAATTTAATTGGCCACCTCCACAAAAAAAAGCACTACAGTCTCATTTCAATGATTTGAATTTTAAAAATTTTACTGTGTAATGTGTCTCAGACCTTTTACTTCTCTCCTGTTAATCATCGTGATGTAATTGAAGTTATTCACTCATTAAACAATTTTAACTCTATGGACATTGACTGCATTTCCACAAAGATAATAAAACAAATTCTAGCAGACTTAATCAATCAGTCTATTCAGCTAGGCATTTTCCCAGATTATCTGAAAGTAGGATATGTAACTCCTATCTTTAAAAAAGGTGATAATAATTTAATTGCTAATTATAGACCCATTACAGTGCCTACAATCTTAAGCAAAATCTTTAAAAAGTGTGTCCACAAAAAATGCTAATATTTCTTAAAAAATATGAAATAATATGCATGAATCAAAATGGATTCCTTCCAGAAAAATCTACTGAAAGTGCAGCAATGGATCTTTTTAATTCCATACATACTTTGATTTATCAAAGGCGTTTGATTCAATCAACTTAGATGTCACTATTCAAAAATTGGAAGGGCTTGGTTTTAAAGGTAACTTTTTGTCTTGGATGTCATCTTATATAAATAACAGACAATTCTATGTCAAAGTCGGAAATTGTAAGTCTGAACTAGAAAGTGTTGATATGGGTGTGCCTCAGGGATCAATTTTAGGACCTCTAATTTTTCTATGCTACATAAATGATATGCCTAATCATATTAACTCAGTAAACATACTTTTATATGCCGATGACACAACAATCAGTAGATGAATTAATTAGTAAATTAAATGTTTTATCTAATGAGTTTACATCATGGTGTTATAAAAATTCTTTAATTGTTAATTCAAACAAAACCGTTTGCCTTCAGTTCTACTCCAGAAATCAAATTACCCAGAATTGTAAAATAAATGTCAATAATGCAGAAATTATGCTTTCAGATGTTAAAAAATTTTTGGGCATACATATTGATAGCAATATGGGTTGGGATAGCCAAACATCTAATGTTTGTAAAAAATTAAATAGTGCATACTATGCAATACTAAAATTAAAATCAATATTTACCCAAGAGCAACTGCTTAATGTCTACTATGCTTTAGCATATTCTCATATATCATACAATATTATTCTTCTGGGTGATGCTCAGAACACCAAGACATTCAACAGCATTATTTGAGAAATCGCCTGAATTTGTTGGAATTAAATTTTTTAATCAACTCCCTGATTTCATTAAATCTGAAAAGAAATATGAACCTTTTAAAAGAAAACTTAAAAACTATTTAGTAGATTCATATTTTTATAATTTATCTGAATACCACCATATTTTAAGGTAAATGTTTTTTCTAATTCTATATTTTTTAATGTGCATGTCTTACCTATATTTATTTGTATTTTAATATTTTTTATTCATAATATTATTACTTATCCTATATCATGTAGCATGATCCTAAAGGACAAATAAACTATTATTATTATTATTATTATTATAATTATATAAGCAGATGTTCACACTAGGTACTGAAAAAACAACAAAAATCTGAATAATAAATAAGACAAATTTAAAAAATAGATTTTTTTATTTTTATAATTCGTCAGTAAGTATTTTTTTTTTACATTATTTTTAAATACACTTTATATTTTTCCAGATATTTTAATTAGTAGATCTTCATTAGGAGTAATATTAATCAAATGAAGCAGTTGTTAATCTGGGAGTTCCTCAGGGCTCTGTACTTGGGACACTTATTTTTTTTTTTTATTGTTTATTGGGTGGTATGATTGAACGTTTACGTTATCCGTAACGTACATGTTAGGCCGAGTTTTAACAGCAAAGAGACAAATTCGTATGATGTAAAGTCTTTCATAACATATTACTGTTATTTTCCGCCTGTTATGTTCTAATTTATCAGGTTTCCATCATACGAACTTGCCTCGTTACTTTTAAAATTCGGCCTAACATATACGTTACCGATAACATAAACGTTCAATCATAGGACCCATAAACTATTTACCAGAATTTATGGATACAAACTGTAAGGTTATATATGCTAATGATGTTTCCTTCGCAACTTATGGTAATTCCCCTGAAGAACTAGCAGATAAATTAAGTCAACTTTATACTAGATTTAAGGAATGGTGTTTGAACAACCATTTAATTCTTAACCATGGGAAAACAGTATTAATGAAATTTCACATTTCAAATGACTCTAACAAACCTTTTGAAATACATACTGAAAATCTTACTATGACATCCTCTGAGACAACAAAATTCCTTGGCACTATTCTTGACTTATCTCTCTCCTTTCAGGCGTGTACTGATCACATTTCTAAGAAAGTATGTAGCAGTTTACAACTTAAAAATATATTCTAACAACAACAACTAATAAATATCTACTGTGCAATGACATACTCACATTTGTCTTATAATGTTATAATATAGGGAAACACTAGATTTTCTACAAAATTGTTTATTTTACAATTTTACAAAAAAAAGTAATACATCTTATTCTCGAGATTCATAAGTGCACCTCTTGTAGAGATTACTTTAAACAATACAAAATATTAACTCTTCCCTGTATTTACATCTCCGAGCAATTACTACTAGAGGGAGTCTTCCCCCCTTCTCCGCGCTAAATTTTGTTAGCAACATCTACTACCTATACCTCTTCTGTAATTGGCTTATTTAATCAGCGTTGCCAAGTTTGACAGCGCCAGTTCTGACACATGTCAATTTCCTATTTGTATTTTATGGAAAATATTATTATTTATAACGTTGTAAAGGTTGTAAATGTATATTTAAGATTTATTATCTCTAATAATATGGTGAAAACATGCTTTATGTGTAAAAGGCCTGTTGAAAATGCTTCAAGATAATATCATAAGTAAGTACAGACACAACCTAATTATCAGAGGCGGTGCATTAGGCAATCACCTTTAATTTGCAATTAAACTTTCTTATTTTCTTATCGAAAAATTAAAATTAAGAGCAATTAAACTCCAGCTAAGTTAATTACTTATTATTATTATTTTAATATCATATCTTTGTAAAGTTTATTGTTATTTTTTTAGGTTTCCTTTTCTTGATATGAGAAAGAAATACATGGTTCCAAAATATAGGAATTCAACAAGTAACCACCTGAATTACTTTTTATACTAATGAACATTTTTATTACAGACCTCAGGGGAGGAAAATATTAAAGAAAAATGCAATTTCGACGAAAGAAGTATAATAATCAATCCTGTCACTACTTCTACACTATATTCATCTGCTACTAAAATACTAAAACAGCAAGTAAGTAGAGGAACTTAAGTTTCTTTCAAAAAGAATGTTTAAGGAAAAAGGCATAGCCATTTTTTTGTTGACACTTTTTTTAACTAATCTAAAAGACTAATTTTGTGTATTGTTTAAATTTCCATTTTATGTACTTAATTTGTTTTAGGTTTAAACAAAATGAACTAAGATATGCATGGAATATCCCAAAAGAGGTTTTAAAATTCTTAAGAAAACTATTCAGAGCCAAAAACATAAAATAGTATTCCTGTCCAAAATATAAATAGGTATAAATATTTAGATATTATGAGTGATTTTTTATTCTATAAATGGAACATAATTTGCTTCTAAATCACTACCTAATGAACTATATTATATAGTACAAAACTAAACAAGAATATCACATTATTCATGTTTTTTTTAATTTCCTTAAAAAACGTCCCAAAAAAATGTGAATATTTATTATTGGAGTTTACATCGTTGTGCTAAAACAATACTAGAACAATTTAAATAATGTGGATTTTGACTATTTTGAGTTATGCAGATCATTATGATCTAAAAAAATGTTTGTCTGGTGCTATAGTCAGGTATAAAAACATTCATTTATTTAAACACAGTTGCAATATACATTTTATTTAGTTTTTAAGTTAAAACCTATTAGGACATCCTAAAATGACTTTTTTCGTTTGATGTGAGATTAATTATTCTACATTTTTGTTGGTGAAATAGGATATATGTCTTACTGTTTTCTCTGATTATCTAAAAAGTTAGAACAATATACAAAGACTGTTCTAACAAAAAAGAGATATACCTTTACTTAAACACACAATTAGTCAGTTCAATTGTACGATAATTTAAAGCAAATCCAGAAAACTTTAAAAATATTTTTAAATGTGTTTTTACTATAACAAGGACATAATTATTAAAAAAAACTTGGCACATTAACATTGACGATAGGTTTTTATAATATATATTATACAAATCACAACGAACTACACAAAATGACATTATTAATAATTTAGCAATAAAAAAGTTAAGTACAATGATTACATTAAGAGCTGAGTTTCTCGAAATACTTTTTTTAAATTGTCTCAGTACCTACCTAGTATTTTTCTAGCACAATGATATTATATGAATGTACATTGTGTGATATCTTATATTTTAGGAATTTCTCACCTCTTCTCTTGTAGATTCCGTACTCAGTTTTCTTATTTTTAGTTACATTTGCACTGCTCTTTTATTTTTACAGCTTTAATTTTATAATGCTGTAACGCTACAATATGGATCCATTTTTGTGGTTTATACTATTTAATATTCGTAAGTGACCAACCTATTATAATAATTAAAGATTATTGTATTACAGGCCTGAAGATGTTCCTGTAAGGCCGAAACTAGTCGATCCTGTATTTATTTATAATAAAATTGATTTTAAGGTTTAATTCTTCAATTGAAAAAATTAGATCTTTACAGTGATTTTGTTTCATTTTCTGCATGAGACACATATAAGACGGTATTTATTTTAAAAATAGTAAAATTAGCAAATTTTTTAGTTTTTTTTTTTACAATTAAAACGTTTGGACAATGTGTGTTTTTATAGATAAATGATACGCCACTGAACAAGAAGGATGTTTACCTTCCCCCTTGTGCCCGCTTCCTCACTTCCCCTACAGATGTTGCTAACACAACAATCGCCTACAAACTCGTTTTCACGCTCCCTCTATTAGTAATTGCTCGGAGATTTACATCTATAAAAATATTCTATTCGTTAAAAAGACCATTAAAAGTGCTGATAATCATAACTACCAGACTAGACATGGTAATCTGCCATGTATACCCCCTCACCGGACAGCGTTTTTTGAAACGAGTCCATCTTATACTGGTATACAGTTATATAATAAATTACCAATCTCTTTAAAAGAAAATCAAAATTTTAATGCATTTAAAAAATCTCTCAAAGATCTCTTGTCACAATACGCATTTTATAATATAGCTGAATTTTTGCATTGTAACTTTTAGTACTTTTTATTTATCTTTGCATTTTTATTTATCTATTTATCTTTCTACTTTTATTTATCTTTGTATTTTTATTTATGTTTGTATTTTGTTTTAAAATTGTTGTACACACACTTATATACTACATATCTTTTTTAATGTTCTACTTGACTTTTCAAATATCATGTAAATGGTCTCAATGGAATAAGATTATTATTATTATTATTAACTAAAAACCTTATATATATATAAGGTTTTTTCCCAATTTAACTTGTAATATTAAAAATTCCATTGAGACGTTATTTCCATTTTATACTAAAGTACTGAAACATTTTTCAGACAGTATCATATTTGCATCATCTGCATTTTAAACAGCTTGTAATCTCGTTTATAATAACTATAAAGAAAATTGTCCCAAGTAACTAGCTTTGTGGAATTACTCTAGCATTCAGATATAGTTTCATTAGTAGGTGTTTGACATCGATCCACTAAATATGATACTACTCCTATACACTTTTAAGTTTTTAATAGTAAGCTGTGGTCTATTGAATTGAAAGGCATGGGTGAGGCCATAGAAAATACCTAAAATAGGCTGTTTCCGGTTAAGTTCTTCATATATATATAGTTTATACATTCTAATATTGCTATGTTAGTTGATTTATTAGCTCTAGACCCATGCTGGCTGGCTGAAATTATTTTGAAATTTTCGAGGTAGTTTACTAACTCCTTTTTGACTCGGTATACATATAGAATAGTAATTTTCAGGGTTATTTATTTGATTGATATTAATGTAGTGAATATTATTAAAGGTCTTTCTCTTACACTGTTTGTTACTTATTTGATTGATAAATCATGTACTGAATCGTTGGTAGAAAAATGGTGCTGTTCCTGTTCAAGAATTTAAAGGAACTCAAATTTGTATTTCAGGCTCAGGTATATATAAACCAAGATCTACAACAACCGAAAGAAACTTAAAAGAAAAGGTGAACCATTTAACCTCAACAATGAACGGTTCTTCCAGAAACCTAAACTATTCAATAAGGCTCGATGAAAAATCAAATTACAGAAAATTATTGGAAAGTTCCAATGACTCTTCTTTTTACTCAACGCCTATTGGAAAACTCTTTAACTATGACACTACAAATAGAAGGGACAGGATCATGGCTGCAGCCCGTAAAACTAATGCTGACACTTCTAAAGGACGAATGTCTACAAAAGATACCATTAGGAAAGTATTAGGAGATTTGGAAAATGAAACTGTCACGATTAAAGACTCTGATTCAGATTCTGATGTGGTTTTTGTCACTCCACCTTCTCCTAAGCCGGATTTCAAAGTGGATCCTGTAAATAGCTTCAAAAAAGTCGTGGATACAGCTGAACAGGCCAAACCAGAATGGTTAGAGAATTTGTAAGTAGTTTTGGCTTATATTTTTGTAATCTTCCACCCCCTTCCCATTTCAGTTGACCCATACTAGGATTTTCTGGAAATTTGCTGCTAGGAGACCAAATACAAGTCTCACATCAACTAAATTTTATTTTAACATTTTAAGCAAAATAGGTTTAAACTTAAAAATTAATACAAAATTAGAATAAATAGAAATTTTTTGTATAACAACCTACATTTTTTATGGCATAAAATTAACATAAACCAAGTCTTGCAAAATTTGTGTGTGTATATAAATCCCATATTTTTTGAAACCCTAGCACTTTTTTCATCTCGACCAAGTTTTGATAAGAAATACCTAAATCAGATTGCAAAAATGGTATATTGAAGTCTCATCCATTTTTTTGGGTTATTTTGAAATCTAGAACACTGCATCATCTTGGTGGAACAAAAAACATCTTATTTTGATGTCAAATATTCTTCCAACACAACGATTTTTTTAAATTGTCCAAATATTCCTCTGTATTAACAATTCCTTTGATAAATTGAGATTTAAATAACAAATGCAATTTTGGACACATTAATTCAGTTCTTCTTTGTTATGTACACCAAAATATAGTGATACTATCTTTATAATAATAAATTAATAAATAATTATTTTACACTTGTCAGTAGAAAATCATCAAAATTACTTTTTAAGTCCATCCCACATTACGTCACTGCGTGGTTTGGGTGAAATTTGAATCAAAAGTCAGGATACCGTTATTTTGTGTATCATGGTATCATCTAGTATTTATTATTGTTATGGTGATTCAAAACGAAAATATTTTAATAATTGGGTTAACTAAAATGGACAGGGGCTCAAATAAATATATTTTTCTTTATGTAGGATATTTATGACCAATAAAAAGTCAAATAACATTTGTGCATGTTCTAGGAGAGCCTAAATATTAATCTATTTGAATATCTATATGTAATTTCAGTATCACTCTGTATATGATCGAAGTATGTAAAGTAATTCCTGTATAAAATATAAAATTCTTAATTCTTCTCTTTGATTTATTATTGATGTAGACATGTCACTGTTATTAGGTATTCCAACAAACTGTCAAACAATAGCTGCCAGTGGGAAGGGCTTGAATATCTAAGGGAGTTGCGACATATTCTTCCATCTTGGAGACTATTTTTATTCGAAATAGTAGTCGCCAAGCTTTCCAATTTATGAAAAAGATATTTGTCCACGACCACTCAATAATAAATCAATATTCTACCTCCTAACTAAGAGCATATAGTACCCATATATCACGGAGTGAATTATGATAATTTACGCTTTTGTAATTCTGGCACATTCCGATAGATAACTAAAGATAGGCGATACTTTTCATAACGATATTTTCTAGATCGAAAAATAAAAAAGTCGAAAAAAAAAAAACGAAAAATCTAAAAAAAAATCGAAAAATCGAAAAAAAATCGAAAAATCGAAAAATAAAAAAAAAATCGAAAAAAAAAAAAATCGAAAAAAAAAAAAAATTGAAAAATCGAAAAAAAAATCGAAAAAAAAATCGAAAAATAAAAAAAAAAAATCGAAAAAAAAAAAAATCGAAAAATAAATCGAAAAATAAAAAAAAAAAAATCGATAAAATCGAAAAGTCGAAAAAACAACAGTAGTTACCTATGTTTAATAAAAACTTTCCATTCACACTTAACTTTTATTTAATAAAGAAACCATAATGGTCGTGGACAAAGTATAGTATTAGACTCGCAATTTATGGCGGAAAAAAAAATCGAAAAATCGAAAAAATTGGGAAAAAATCGAAAAATAAAAAAAAAACGAAAAATCGAAAAATAAAAAAAACTCGAAAAATCGAAAAAAAAAATCGATAAAAACGAAAAATCGAAAAGTCGAAAAAACAACAGTTAGTTACCTATGTTTAATAAAAACTTTCCATTCACACTTGACTTTTATTTAATAAAGAAACCATAATGGTCGTGGACAAAGTATAGTATTAGACTCGCAATTTATGGCGAAAAAAAAAATCGAAAAAATTGGAAAAAAATCGAAAAATAAAAAAAAAAAGAAAAATCGAAAAAAAAAATCGAAAAATCGAAAAAAAAATGGAAAAATCGAAAAAATTGAAAAAAATCGAAAAAATCGAAAAAATGGAAAAATCGAAAAAAAAAAATCAAAAAAAAAATCGATAAAATCGAAAAGTCGAAAAAACAACAGTAGTTACCTATGTTTAATAAAAACTTTCCATTCACACTTAACTTTTATTTAATAAAGAAACCATAATGGTCGTGGACAAAGTATAGTATTAGACTCGCAATTTATGGCGGAAAAAAAAATCGAAAAATCGAAAAAATTGGGAAAAAATCGAAAAATAAAAAAAAAACGAAAAATCGAAAAATAAAAAAAACTCGAAAAATCGAAAAAAAAATCGATAAAAACGAAAAATCGAAAAGTCGAAAAAACAACAGTTAGTTACCTATGTTTAATAAAAACTTTCCATTCACACTTGACTTTTATTTAATAAAGAAACCATAATGGTCGTGGACAAAGTATAGTATTAGACTCGCAATTTATGGCGAAAAAAAAAATCGAAAAAATTGGAAAAAAATCGAAAAATAAAAAAAAAAGAAAAATCGAAAAAAAAAATCGAAAAATCGAAAAAAAAATGGAAAAATCGAAAAAATTGAAAAAATTGAAAAAAATCGAAAAAATCGAAAAAATGGAAAAATCGAAAAAAAAAAATCAAAAAAAAAATCGATAAAATCGAAAAGTCGAAAAAACAACAGTAGTTACCTATGTTTAATAAAAACTTTCCATTCACACTTAACTTTTATTTAATAAAGAAACCATAATGGTCGTGGACAAAGTATAGTATTAGACTCGCAATTTATGGCGGAAAAAAAAATCGAAAAATCGAAAAAATTGGGAAAAAATCGAAAAATAAAAAAAAAACGAAAAATCGAAAAATAAAAAAAACTCGAAAAATCGAAAAAAAAATCGATAAAAACGAAAAATCGAAAAGTCGAAAAAACAACAGTTAGTTACCTATGTTTAATAAAAACTTTCCATTCACACTTGACTTTTATTTAATAAAGAAACCATAATGGTCGTGGACAAAGTATAGTATTAGACTCGCAATTTATGGCGAAAAAAAAAATCGAAAAAATTGGAAAAAAATCGAAAAATAAAAAAAAAAAGAAAAATCGAAAAAAAAAAATCGAAAAATCGAAAAAAAAATGGAAAAATCGAAAAAATTGAAAAAATTGAAAAAAATCGAAAAAATCGAAAAAATGGAAAAATCGAAAAAAAAAAATCAAAAAAAAAATCGATAAAATCGAAAAGTCGAAAAAACAACAGTAGTTACCTATGTTTAATAAAAACTTTCCATTCACACTTAACTTTTATTTAATAAAGAAACCATAATGGTCGTGGACAAAGTATAGTATTAGACTCGCAATTTATGGCGGAAAAAAAAATCGAAAAATCGAAAAAATTGGGAAAAAATCGAAAAATAAAAAAAAAACGAAAAATCGAAAAATAAAAAAAACTCGAAAAATCGAAAAAAAAATCGATAAAAACGAAAAATCGAAAAGTCGAAAAAACAACAGTTAGTTACCTATGTTTAATAAAAACTTTCCATTCACACTTGACTTTTATTTAATAAAGAAACCATAATGGTCGTGGACAAAGTATAGTATTAGACTCGCAATTTATGGCGAAAAAAAAAATCGAAAAATAAAAAAAAAAGAAAAATCGAAAAAAAAAAATCGAAAAATCGAAAAAAAAAATGGAAAAATCGAAAAAATTGAAAAAAATCGAAAAAATCGAAAAAATGGAAAAATCGAAAAAAAAAAATCAAAAAAAAAAATCGATAAAATCGAAAAGTCGACAAAACAACAGTAGTTACCTATGTTTAATAAAAACTTTCCATTCACACTTAACTTTTATTTAATAAAGAAACCATAATGGTCGTGGACAAAGTATAGTATTAGACTCGCAATTTATGGCGGAAAAAAAATCGAAAAATCGAAAAAATTGGAAAAAAATCGAAAAATAAAAAAAAAAATCGAAAAATAAAAAAAACTCGCAAAATCGAAAAAAAAATCGAAAAATCAAAAAAAAAAAATCGATAAAAACGAAAAATCGAAAAGTCGAAAAAACAACAGTTAGTTACCTATGTTTAATAAAAACTTTCCATTCACACTTGACTTTTATTTAATAAAGAAACCATAATGGTCGTGGACAAAGTATAGTATTAGACTCGCAATTTATGGCGGAAAAAAAAATCGAAAAATCGAAAAAATTGGAAAAAAATCGAAAAATAAAAAAAAAACGAAAAATCGAAAAAGAATCTAAAAATCGAAAAAAAAAATCTAAAAATCGAAAAATAAAAAAAAAAAATCGAAAAATAAAAAAAAAAAATCGAAAAGAAAAACGAAAAGTCGAAAAAATAACATTTAGTTACCTATGTTTAATAAAAACTTTCCATTCACACTTAACTTTTATTTAATAAAGAAACCATAATGGTCGTGGACAAAGTATAGTATTAGACTCGCAATTTATGGCCTTTATTCACTCGGGTGACTTGCGCCCCTTACCATAAATTGCTCGTTTAATAATATACTATAAGCGGTTTTTTAAATAATGTTTTCATTGTGTTCGACATAAAATATTTAAATTTATTATGATTTCACGTATTGTAGATAGAATACATTGTATGTCTCAACCCTTTAGACATACCAAACCTTTCCACCCACAGTTATTTTGTTTGGAATGCCCAATAATTTCTTCTTTTTATTATTATTTGGGGTAAAATATTTCAAGGTTATAATTTTGACAAATGCATATCTTTCATATTTTAGAATATTTTTAATGTTTACTTTTGATATTTTTATTTATTAATTTACATAATATAAATATGGGTAATTTTATACAAAGGCTATATATGTGTGTATATAATAAGTTTTATGACATTAGGTGAGTTTTAATACAAATATATATCAAGTAATTTAAAGGCCGCGACTGAATAAACATGACTAAATTAATTGAGGCTTTGATTTTAAAAACAGTATAAGTCCAAAATTATTAAATTCGAGATCTAAGTGGAATCTAGTAGAGTATTTTGCAAGCTATTTGATGGTCTAAGCAGTTCTTCCAAACACCGGTCTTGTGTCGATTTATATAGCTTTAAATTCGGCAAAAACAACATACTGTTATGTCTAAATTGTTTCTATTAAAACAGCATTTTTTGTCCAATACTTATGCTATTTTTACCGGGATTGAAATGTTATAACCTATATCAACTATTCCTTTCTCCATTAATCTAGTTGATTCGTTATTGTTGACACGTCGATATTATAAAAAATTAATACAGTTAACAATAATAATACGGAACAAAGCAATTGGCCTAAGAGAAAGTCGAAAAAGGTAAAGCAATCTGTACAAATACGGAATGCAAAATAAACAGATTTAAAACCTATAAACCATAGAAACACGTTAACTCTTGCTGTTTTTGAAATCAACGCCTCAATTTTTATATAGTGTAGTTTTTAATAATATATAAGCCAAATTTGTATACTTTAATCAATAATAATTATGACATTAATTTTAAAGGCGTTTTTTATTTCGTTGCTAATACAGGGTAAACCGTCAACGAAAATTAATAGCGGCTCGACAAAAAGAAATCGAATACCTAAAAGAATGTTCTGATAAGCATGGACAAATTAACAACGATATGCGCTTGGAGCTGCTCACGGACAAAGTCAACAAATCGCTACAGATCAAAGACGTCATTCTGCCGGTTCAAGAAAAAGAAGAAGAATTGGAATTACCTCCCTTGACCGAAGCCCAACTGAAGATGGTCAATAGAGCTTTCAAAGGCGATCCCAACGAGATTTTGAGCAAGAAGTTCAATTTGAACATTACCAGGCGAGACCTTCTGACTTTGGCTGGATTAAACTGGCTTAATGACGAGGTCATTAACTTTTACATGAATATGATCATTGAAAGAGGGAAGGACTCCAAGTGGCCGAACGCGTTTGCATTTAATACGTTTTTCTATCCCAAACTAATCAAAGACGGACCTCAGTCGTTGAGGAGGTGGACGAAGAGAGTCGATCTGTTTGGACAGGATTTAATTTGCATACCTATCCATCTCGGAATGCATTGGTGTATGGCCATTATTGATTTAAGAGATAAATCTATTAGGTAATATTTTTTTTATGCAAAAACCTTTTTGTTTTACAACAAAAACAATTTTTGAATGATGAATTAACATTACACTACCGACAAACTGTACAGGGTGTTTCAAAAATTGAGTCAAAAAGTAAGAAATAAAAATCAAATTTTGTTCGGCCTCGATATTTCCATAGGAGTTGACCTACTAGACATTTATTCATTGTTCCATGGAACTCTATTAACTATTGTAATAGATCGGCGTTACCTTGCAATAAAATATTAATTTCAAAACACTTATAAGAAATTTTGACTAGCTCATAGAAATTTAATACCAAACATTACTTACCTTTAATCAAATTAAAAATAAATGAGCACATTGACCATAGTTTTCTCAGTCGTGAATTCGGATTTTCTAATAGACACCTCTGGGATAATAATTTTCTGGGAGAGAGGGGCGCCAATAATTCTCTTTTTTTATTTTTAGAAAGCTAGGGAGAATTATAAACTCTAGCTTTGTCAAAAAGAAATTAATAAAAATATATAAAATTTAATTTGAGTAAAAGAGAATTGTTGTAACCTTAAAAAAATAAGATTTAACATATAAATGAATTTGTTTATTTAATTAAAGGACATGAATTATTTTACAAAAAAAATCACTGAAACTTTCTAGATAATGATTTTTATCATGCTGGTACCAACAACTATAAAGTTAAAACTCGTATCATACCAAAATCAATGGTTCTTTAATAGCCTCGTGAATTATTTACCGCTATGTAGATATCTGTAGATCTTCGTAGTTAAGAATGTCGCCATCAATGATAACCTCGATAGCCTCTTTAGCTACAAAACATCCAATTGAAGAATTTGAACATAGTTTCTGTTAAAGTTGATTATTTAGCAGTATCTAGCAGTGAATTTTCAGTAGGATTGTGTAAATTCAGCTCACAAACTGAGTAAAGCATATTTAATAAATTTAAATTAACTTTCAAAATAAATAACAATAAAAATAAGTAGACATATAATTTTTAATGAGATATTTTTAAAATGACATTATTAAAAACTTACCACTATATTTTGCAGTCTAAGCACTCAACTGTTAATTTAAGTTATCAGATGAGAAATGAATTTTAATGAAAAGATTCTAAAATTGTGAGCCAGCCAGGTCCCCACCTAGAGAAATTTCCATCTCTAAGCATATTGCTAGCGTCGATAATTAAATGCTAAATCAATCTGTTACTAATTTATACAGGATGTCATACAATTAAAATAACATTTTTAAATGTTACATTATTAAATAAAAGACTCGACTTATGAGGCACCCTATATATATTTGTTTGAATTCCACATTTCCTAAGATAAAAGGATTTTCAGTTATTCGTATTTTTCTTATAGATATTATGACAGTATGGGAAGCAGAAACGACAAATGCCTGAAAGCCCTACGAAACTATTTGGAAGCGGAGCATTTAGATAAGAAGAAAACTCGATATGACACATCGGATTTCGAGCTAGAAAACGTCAAAGATATACCCCAACAGATGAACGGAAGCGATTGCGGGATGTTCTCATGCACCTTCGCCGAATTCGCTACTAGAAACGCGAAAATCTGTTTCAGCCAGGAACACATGCCGTATTTAAGACAAAAAATGGTGGTCGAAATATTGTCGGGAGAATTATTGATTAAGTAATTTTTAATTCGTTTGTTTTTATATTATTTTCTATTTATTAAAGAAGACTTTAACATGTCATATTTGTCGAGAGTGTTTTTTGTGTGTTGGGAAACTATGGATCCTAAATGTTATCTTGACATTTTTTTTTTTTTTTAGTTTGACGTCAACGGAATACATACAATCATTGGGTGCGTTCAGCCGACGCAATAGTTGAGTATGGTGACTTGTTGGGTCTTCTGAACGACACTTGTTGAGTTTTGGTTAGTTTCAACCGTTGCTCAACATCGGCACCAGGAAAATTCTATGGTGACTTTTGTAAACGAAGTATTGTACTCAGTGTTGCAAACTAAAGGAATTTTTAACTTAGAGATTTCTAGTGTTTTTTATTGATTTTTAACCACTCTAGGAGGAAAAAGCTGATTATATGTGATTATAACCGCACATTTATTGTTTTTAAAATTCTAAAGTTAAACCATGATGAAAAATGTCCCTTATGACTGATTATGACTTAATATATTTTTACATGATCTTGATTTATAACCGAAAATGATTTTATTTATATCATCACTAGAGGTCACCACGTGAATGTGTATTGTCTAACCGCTGAACCAACTTGTGCCGTTCAGGTACTTTTAATTGTTGACTTTCACCATATCAGAAACATGTTTTCGGTTTTAATCAACTGCTGCGTTGGCTGAACGCACTCATTGTTAAGTTTTTATGCTACACTTTTATTGAAAGATATGACATTTTAGGTTAGATTTTCAGAAGCAAATAATTTTTAGTTTTTCAAAGATTTCTGGTCCTTCTTTACATGTCTTATCACCTTGTTCTTGTAATTCTCAAATACGTCTGGCCCTTTGAGCAAATACACGAGATGTGTGATGAATTCTCAAAGAAATACGTTTAGAATACTTGAAGCAGCTGTACTTCCACGACACTCCTCGTATAGTAATAACTTTTAAAAATTCAAAAGGAAAGACTTGTATTTCGTGCAAAACTTTTTAATTAATAAATGCAAAACGATTTCGGCATTGTGCCATCATCAGTGCTTATCTACAAAAATTGTGGATGTAAACTTACAATTTGTAAAAATTTTCTTTATCACGTCCAATTTCTATGTTTCTTTTTTTGTTAGAAAGGGGATACCTCAGAGGTAATTCCACATGCAATTGGTCAGGATCTGATGAACTATGAGAAAATACAAATCTCAATTTTTTAGGGCATCTGCACGATTTTGAAGTCGATTTTTTAATTAAAAAATTATTACGTGCAACCATGTACTATCGTATTCAGCAAAAATTAAATTACAATTTAGTATCTAAATTTTTTGAAAAATACCATAATGTAAATAATTCAAAATAACATACCTGTTCACACCTGGCAACCTAGTGACTAGGTATTAAATTACTCGGTATCGAAAGAAAAGTATCAATACCAGTGTCATATCAGTAGTATCGCAACATCCCTAGTGGCAACCCTTTTTTTGGCATCATTTTCTCTCAAATTGAGTTTAATTCATTCAAAAATATATTGCTACTAAAATAAATTACAATTTAATTAATTAACGGTAATTGCGGATAAATTTTGATAGACTATCCGGCGGCAATATATTACATTTTAATTAAATCATTTATTTAAATTAAAAAACAGATCACTGCAAAAATCAGCTCCCGGATCTTGTACTATTATCCTAGTTTGCAGGTATTCAATATAACATCTTTAAAAAATATTTATATTTTTTACTTTTCAAACACAAATTCCCAGTCGTGAGCTATTGGGGATGGATATATTGGTCACTTCCTATAAGTGACTGATCCACTTTCTCGGCCACATTGGTCACTTTTATTTCTACATTACGAATCCATGTCTTTGTCATCTTCCTCCTCCAGGATTCCAAGATTTAATCATCTTTGTTACTTTACTACTATTTTACACATTGTTGATTCTTTCTCTTTGCAATGTTTTATATTCTCCTGAAATAATAGTTTTTTAGTTCTACTGCTGTATTGTTTACACCGTCGGCTTACTATCAAAATCCATTTTATCTTGTCCTCTCATATAGATTAATTATTCTTCTAATCTAAGTGAATTTTCTTATTTTATTATCTTCTTATATATTCCTCCGTTTCTCTTTCTAGAATATTTACCTTGCATAATCACGAATTATAGATTTTCTGTCAGCAGTAAAAATATATTGTAGCTGTGCTAAATTTACAACAATTTCATGGATTTTTTGACCCTATGTCTGTAGGTACTGCAAACCTGCAGTGATACATAGAGAATGAATCGATTTTTCTATCAAATTTAACAAAATAATACTAAAAACAGTTGTAACAGCAAAATACATTTTTTAATAGTCAACTTTTAACAACACTTGCTAAATAGTTATTGAAATTTGTTCAGCAGTGGTCATTATTATTACAAATCAATGATTTATATGAATTATAAGTTTCAATGTAGCTCCGTTTGAGTGTTTCAACTTAAAAAAAAAACAACTTTGTGTGGCATTTAGAGACGCAATGTAAAATTTAGTTTGTTAATGATTTATGTGACATGAAACCTTTGGCAGTTCTCCCGATAAATTACAATTTTATGTTAAGTTTATATATTTTTTGATAACGTTTATTTAAAATATCTCCAGAACAATTTCATAGATTTACTAAGGATATTAACCAAATCAATAAAAAACTTCTCATAATTTTCATTTTGTTATTCCAGCCCTATGCCATCTTGCAAGTCGGCACTTCCTCTCATTTTTTTAGAATTTCTTCTGTCTATATGTCGATGGCTCAATCAAATTCTGCCACAACTAAAAAACTATTGTTTTGAGAAATTTAATTTTAAAATTTTGTATTTGGCATAAAATCTTTATATTTTATTTAAAAGCTACGATATTATGCTGTTAAACGATTATAAAATCACCCAAACTTGAGTTATTGCGTAGTTTGTAAAAAAATTGGGCGTTTTTGCAGAAATTATTCCGATTTGGGGCAGTTTTAGATACAGTTTGTATATACATGTCTCTTTGTTTAGTCAAAAACTAATTCATTTACAGTATATAATTTTGAAAATACTTCTTGAAGGATATTTTGGTTTGGTATTTAAAATAACTCAATGATATTTTGCATTCATTAAACCAACAATGTCATTTTCTTTGTTTTTTGACTTGTGGCAGTTTTTGATTGAGCCATCGATATGCACAAGAATAATGACACAAATCAAATACTTCCGTTTTCGAGCTTATTGTGAAATGTTAAGCAAAATCCGCTAATTTTTATGTAAAAGAACAAGATATTGCTACTTTCAAAAATAACCGCTGAAAATCAATTGTATCGTTCTTCCAGTACTATAAAGTCGGTTTATGATGATGAAAAGTGACACAAATGTAGTTGTGCTCCGATAGTCAATTTTCGACTATAGTGACATAAATCCGAATATAAAAGTTAAAACCATTATTTTCAAAGTGATGCAAGTCAAATTAGGGCTTTATTATTGGAAAGATCATCAATACACAGAGCAAACGAAGGGGAGTAGCCGGGTTGAAAGAGCGGGACCCGACCTGGAAAATTTTCCCTGGGCTCGACCTGGCTCTCGGCGGCCCTGTCAATATGGTATGAAATACATTTTTCTGAAAGATCGTCGTAACTCAAAAGAGGGATGAAAATATAATATAACCCTGTTATTGTTTTAATATTAGGTGAATGTTTATTTTAAAATGGATGTTCTCGAAACTATGTTTTTGAGTTGTGTCATTATTCTTGTGTTCCAACGATCTTCTTTTAACCTTTTTGATACAGACAAAACTTTCGCGCATACGGAGATGATTATCAGAGATATCCGAAACGGCTGCTTCCATGACCTTCGGCAATCGTCGTATGTCGAAAACTAATCATTCGTTAAAACTTTTCTACCTATATGGCAAAGAGGTGGGGATAATTTCTCTGGATATAAGTAATTGTATATTGAAATATAAGTATCCACAAAATTAGAAAATTTTTCAGTTTTCTCGTCTTGAATGTTATTCAATCTCCATTTAGGATAGTAGGATATTTTAATGTAAGAATAAAATTTGTATTTAATTTGAAATAATTGTGATACTTATTAGTTTACTTTAGTAGATAATTTGTAAATTAAGATGAAATTATGATAGGTTTTTCTTTAATGAATTAATAAATTGGTATTTTACAGTAAATATTTAAACTTTTATTTAAAAAACCGTCCCAACATTGTATCAAGTAAATAATACTGTTAGGCAGGTTTTTGGTATCTTAATTTATTTCAACTCAATTCTATCATAAAATTGATCACTGACGTCAGGATCATTGAATTATATAGCTTGCTTTCACCTTTTCGAACCGTCCAGATTTTTCTTGACGCAGAATGACATTTCTCGAATATTTCTCCTTCTTTTCGTACCTTGTAACGACCGCAGCATATTGCAGGGTGCTGTGTAACAATACTCTTCCTTATTCACCCCCTTACAAATGAATTTGAACTCCAAAAGCTGAGCTTGTCCGGGGAAGGGACGACTATTTCCACAGAATATCTTTTGTGGATATCCAATATATCCACAGGATATCAGAAATATTCCGTGGATCTAATATGGATATCCAAATGTCTGTCTATATCCAGAATATAGAAGATATCCTATGGATATCCAGCAAAATATAATGGGTATCTCCCAGAAAATACAAGATATCCCAGAGATATCTACAGAATATATTTTGTGGATATCCAATATATCCACAAGATATTATAGATATCCAGTGGATCTAATATGGATATCCAAATGTCCGTCTATATCTTAGGATATAGAAGATATTCTATGGATATTCAGCAAAATATTTTATGGGTATCTTCTTTAGTAGAGGTTCATAAGTAACCAATGATTATTGAATAACGTCGAAAGAAAATAGCAGAGATAGAAAATATTATCAACACTCTGCCTTTGATTTTGCCCACTAAGGAGAAAGTCATTCTTATTAGGACTCTTCAGCAATAAATGGAAATTCTCGACTCCAGTCTCTAATGGAGTCTGATTGCAATACCAATTTCGATCGAACTCACATTACGACGGGTTGAGCATGAGTAGATATTCAACGAGCGAAAGTGGTATCGCCATCTATACTTAGTAAGCAAAATCAAAAATTACATCTAGTGGATATCCACCATGGTTTGCGTTCGCGCCTAGACTTTGATATATTTAGTGGATGTCCATGGGATATTGAATACACCTTAAAAAAATTAATTTTAAATATCTGAACGGTACTATTAGCCACAATGGCGTAATTTTTTAATAATTTGCTATAAATTAATATTTATGGACATTTGCATAATTACATCTCATGGATATAAAATACATATCCAACAAGGACTGGACATTCAGTGGAAATTGGGATGTCCAGTAGATATCCAAAGGATTTGGTGTGCTCCCAGCAAACACTGATGTGCCGAAAACTTGTCAGCCGATGATTGAAATTATGGTACAAAAATATAGCAATTAAATAATGCAAAATAGGCGGTTTAGTTTAACGTAGAGACATATTCACATTCATTGGCACTATTTTATCGCATATTAAGTGTAAATTAATGTCATACTCCTCTACTACAAACTTGATATTCTTCTTGGGTGGCTCTAAAGCACTGTACCAGCATTTACAAGTGACGGGGAATTGAATGCCAGGAAAATATCGGCCGCCTGGACGCGGGGATGCCGGCAGTGTACTCTATCATAAGTGCTTTGCCGAGACTTCAAGTACTGTTTACATGTATTGGGCCGTTTATCTGTGTTTGTTGGGGCTGTCTGGGACTGTACATTTCGTTAGAACATTCACACATTACATAAATGGGAAAGCTTTTTAATACATTTGTTCTAGGCACTGGAAGGTAAAAAGTGCATGCAGACCTTGCCGAAAATCAAGGAACATAAAAGCTAATCCTTTCTAATAAGGCGGAATCATCAATTTTATCAGTCAGTAACTTAAATAGAAACAGCACCGAGTTAATTACAAGAACGGCGAGCTGATAAGCTATTAACTGCGTGTCTTTGCAAAAGAGAATTATGAGGCGTTCTGATCGCAGGGTAGACACCATCAATTTTGAAATTTAACAGTTTTAAAAATCGTCTTTGGACTTGTTCTAAGTTGTTAATATGAAGTTGATAAAATGTATTCAAAACTATAGATGCATATTCAAGTTTTGACCTTACGTATGCATAGTAGAGGGTAGTGAGTGTAGACGGATTAGTTAAGTCTCGACTAGCCCGTACAACAAATCCGTAAAGACGAGAAGCAGCGGATAAAATAGTATTTATATGCGGACCAAAAGATAATTCTCTATCGAACTTAACACGTAAATCTTTAATAGTAGTTAGTCTTTAGAGGATTGTGTTGTTAATGATGTAATCAAATATTATAGGTTTAGCGCTAAGACCATATGACAGGACAAAACATTTCGCGGTATTAAGCGATACATTATTTCTCAGACACCAGTATTCAACTCTATCGATATTAGCTTGAAGGTGTTCACAGTCGGATCTGTGAGCAATGGTCAAACACAATTTTAGATTGTCGGTATATAACATACAATTAACATAAATTACTATGAACTAATATGGGGTAAAACGCAATCAGCCATAAGACTGTATAGTATTATCAGATACAATATCAGGTGTTTAGAAAAAAAAAAAAAAAGCATAGGTCTGTTCTTGGACGATTTACATGAATGGCTTATTTCGCATCAAGTAAAATCCTGTTATTAACTCTTTAAAGTGATCACATCATATTTTAAATCGTAAAATTCATTACGAAAAATATGTTTCTTCCGGAAGCTTTCAAATAATTCCAACAGCATATTTTTCAGACCCTCAAGGAAACCCCCGTCACGTAGTTTGAGTAGAAAAACCTAGAATTGCTTTGGTAAGAAAAGAGAAATTATTTTTGTCGGTTAGAGCACAGAAAACTAATGAAAATTATGTAGGCAAGTGCTTGCTGGCGCCGGATATTAACATTAAAAAAAAACTACAGTAAATAACGCAACAGGCAAAAATATATTAGTGAAATTGTACAAAATATATTAAAAATAAAAAGTTATATTAATCAGGCAAAAATATATGAGTGAAATAGTTCAAAATACATAAAAAGTAACACTAATCACTATCTTCAGATAAACCAGCATCTTCCTTAGGCGCTGCCACTTTTTTAGCCCTTTTAGGAACGTACCCAGGACCTTTTGTCGATTTTCTATAGACTTCTATGGCTTTTAATTTGTTTCTCAACACATCCGATTTATCTCTTAATTTTTGATGTATAACTTCTTTTGTGTGAAAAGAAGTGGTGGGTATTGGTACATTTTTTTTAACTACCGGTTTTTCTAAACTATGTAATACTTCGTTTTTGATTTCTTCAATTCGTTTATTAGATTGAGACGTTGTGGCCTCCAATAATTTAATTTCGGCATCTTCTGCTAGCTCTTTTGGTATATTTTCTGTGGGTGGTTGAATTTTAGGTTTTTTCTTAGTAAGATCTTCGATTTTAATCTTCATTAACTCATTCCGCCTCTTTCTTCTAGTTTTTAATTCTACCGCCAGGTTTTCATAATCTTTTACATTGTCCATTTCTTCTAAAGATTTAGATGTATTGATTTCATTAGTTTCTTTTTTCTTTCTCGATCTTTTTGGTGGTGCTTCATTGTTAGCGTCTTCTTTTAAATCTTTCTCAATATTTTTCTTCGTTGATGCGTTTCTTCGTCTGTTTAAAACTTTCGGTTTATCTTGTGTTGTATCTTTTAATTTTTCTCCCAAACTATTCCCTGCATTTTCAGTCATCTGTGAATCAATTTCTTCCTGATTTTTATCACTAGCATCATTAACAGCCTTTCTTTTATTTCTTGTTGAATTGGATTTTTTACTTCCACCTCCCTTGGTTTTCCTTATTTCCCTTTCCTTTTCTTTTTCTAATTCAGCCATCTCGTCGGCAATAAGTTCATCTGGGGTTTTTCCAATTTTATCAATAGCAGTCTTAACTCTTTTACTTACTTTTCCTTCTAAATCGACAGGATTGATTTTAAATTTCGTTTTAAAATAATCTTTGATAGTTTTTTGCGTTTGGTTTTCCTCTATTTTTTTGATAACTGGATTGAGGATTTCTTCCGTCTTTTTCATGGTCCAACCAAATTTTTCTGTAGCAAATACCGTAAGACCGGTAACATCGGGTTTAGACCAAGAAAACGTATCTTTGTTAGAATCCACTTTTGGTTCTAGGTAAGCTTCAACCACTTGTGAATTAGGGAAGCCATCAGCAAATGCAATATTTTTTAATTTGCTTTTGAGTCCTGAACGACCGGGTCCTGGCGCTTTACCTTTCATAAACCATGATTTAAATTCTTTTAAACCTGTTACTAACTGATGATGGGTTAGTTTAAATTCTTTAGATTGCGCTGGGGGAAAGCTGGCTAGTATCTCTAAAGCTGTGACAGGTCCGACACCCTGTATACCGGTGGTGTAATCACTACCCACCAGCAAAGCTAATAATATCATTTGTTGCCTGGTTAATTTAAAGTGATGTTCAATATTTTCGGATTTGAATTCCATTACGTATTTGCTTTGGTTGAAAAAGTTTTTATAAACGGTTCGACCTCCGAAAAGCCAAATATCGCTATCGTCAGTTATCGAGCCATTAGTAAGTTCATTTTCGTCTAAAAATGCGCATTGTGCCTCTGCTTCCATCGGGGCGATGATGTAAGGAACGCCGAAAAGTTCCAGCAATTCTTGCGCTTCTTGATACATTTGATCTGTGATATTGTTTGCTAGTCTTTCTTTGGTTGATTTTTCTTTTAAAAGATCTACTTTTTCTTTCTGAAGATTTTCTTGCAACTCTTCCATCTCTTTTCTACTTATTTTTGGTACTGCAGTTTCTTTAGAACTCTTATTTATTACTATATCTTCATTTTTTTGTATACTAACAATTTTTTGTTTTGCAATAGTAATATTGTCTTTAACAGTTTCAATTTTTCCAGGGCCGTTTTCATTTAAGCCATCAGATGTTGAAGCTTTTTGATGGTCTTCTTTATTTTCAGTAAGTTTGTCTTTAATGAAAATATCACCAAAGAGATCATCATTATCAGTATCACTCTTATTTGGATTAATAATAATTTCTATAGGTTTATTTAAAACAGGCACTTCTTTTGTATTATCAATATTTTCGGTATTAGTATCCTTTTCAAATATATCACCAAATAAATCATCACCATCATCATCTTTTTTATTAGGATCTATGATAATTTCTAAGTTAAGTTTAGATTTGGGAAGTTCAATTTCATTGCTACTGGATTCATCACTGTCTGACATAATCTCTACTTCACCAGCACATTTTATATCTTCAGTTTCTTCTTCTGCTATCACTTCCAATACTCTGCTACTCTGTTTATTTTGAAGATCTTCCTCTGGTTTTTCTTCTTCTAAATTAATTGTAACTGTTGCTTCTGCTACGTCTTTGGAAGCATCCTTATTTGAAATGTCTTTGGGTAATGTTTCAACTGCAGATTTTTGAATTGAAATTTTATTAGCACTTTTACTAATAATTTTATCAATTTCATTACGTGTTAATCCACTATATTCCAACATATAACTTTCGGCAGACGAAAGCTTCTTTAAATTTGGTTTACTAGTTTTAGTTTCTTCAACCAAATCTTCATCAGAGTCAGATTTGAAGTCAGCATCGTTAAAATTACTTAAAAATGAGAATTCTGACAATTTAGGTCCTACAGATGTTGAAGGTGTCTCTTCAAGGCTCAATTGTATTGCTTTCTGCAGTTCTTCCTCCTCTTCCATGTCTGCTTTGGTCTTTTTCTTTGATTCTAATACTCCAGTTTTTATTGTATCTGGAGCTTCTTCAAGAGAAAGCTGAATTGCTTTTTTTAATTCCTCCTCTTCATCAATGTTTGTGAGATTCTTTATCTGCTCCTTTTCTTCCGCATTTTTTAATTCCTCCTGAAGATTCTTAATATACAAATATCTAGTGTTTTCATCTGAAGCTATTCTCTTTCCTATATTACTGTCATTGGTGGTCTTAACACCCTGATCGTTCAACAAAGATTCTAATTCAGCTAGGGACAAAGACATTCCACCCATTTCTTTTGAAACATCTTCTAAGGCAGATTGGACTTCTTGTCTTTTTAAAAGCCTCTTCATTTGGTAAGAAGAAAAATCATCACTTTGTTTAGGAAAGAGATGTAATTTAGCCCACGTATTTTGCTTCCTAGTGTCTTTTAAATCTGTTAGAATCTCATGTTTAACTTCTAAAGGCAATGATTTGAAATAAATGCTAGTTGTGTCTATAGTGTGCAAATCCCATTGTTTAGTAGGGCTAGAATCTGTAGTTGTACTATCAGTGGTTTCTTCTGTGTCCTCATCTTCAGATGATGATAAAGTGGAATCGAATTCTGTTGAAGATGGGAGGGCATAGAGGTTATCAAATTTATCAGATGATTTTTTTGATATGGGCATAGAAGCTTTTGCTTTTTCACCTAGTACTTTACTTATTGCGCTGTGTTTTAAAAGTGTATTTAGAAGTTGTTTTTGGAGTCTGTCAGCTTCAGAGGCATGTCGTGATTTAAGTTGATTTCTTTTTGCCTACGAAAATTGATCAGTATTACTACAATTATTTATTTTAAATCATCTACTAAACTTATAACAGCTATTTTCTTTATTTAAACATAAAACATCCGGATGTCGGATGATTAGTCATTACCTAACCTATAAATATTTGTCAACCTTAATTTTTTAATTACAAAATGTAATTGTAAACAACTTACAATAGTTTGTCTCTTGAGAGCTGGTACTCCTCCATCGAAAACAAATACTGGTTTTATCTTAAAATACAATAGTTTACAAACTCGATGATAAATCCCCAATAAATGTGCATTCGCTACCGGTGCCCCCTTATTATCCTGGAATCCTTTAATGGCTTGATGTAGCCAAATAGAAACATCTAAATAACAAAAATGAAACCATAAATTAGTTTTATAATTTGAGCCAGTAGAATCATGATAAATACCTACGGCTAGAACTTTATTTTCGAGTGTCTCGATCGGAATTGGTTTCCCAGACGACTCGATAAGCTTCCACAGACCATGAACACCCATTATCAACACGTTTTACCTACGAAATTTCTTAAAAAACGAAAACACCTTATAAATCAAAATTTTCCCACGGTCTGTAAACGAGACATGAAAGAACAGACATACGTCCTTCTAGTCTTTGGTCAATCATGGATTCTCACCATTTCAGACGAATGATTTTATGGTTTCAGATGAAGGCGGAGGTAATCTCCTTTTAAATTATTGTTGTACCAAATCAAATAAATGTTTGGCCACCCACTCTTTCCCACAAGATATTTTCCCACGCCCCGGCCATAACCCCAACACATCCTTCCCTCATTAAAAATTAGATGAAGAGAGGGGAAATCCCATGGAGGGGATAATATGAAATGAGATCTGAAATTATGCATGTGTTCGGTGATTTCACATCAACTATACGAGGGTAATTTAAAAATTTAACATATGAGCACATTATTATGAACGATAAGAAATACAAATGAATCCTTAGATGTGTTTATCATTTTAATACAATATGGCCAAATTTTATGTATTCATATCTGATTCTAATAGTTTTTTTTTAATTAAAATTATAAATTAAATTTTCAATTTCCGTTTGTGGAAATTTAGACACTGAAGTAAAATTGTAGGTTAGGAAATTTTGTTTTGATTCAAGGTGATCATTGTGATATGGGAAATGTTTGTTTTTTATTTATCTGTCTTATTAACAATGTTAGTTGCTACAGTAACATGTTAGTAATAAATTGCCTATCTAATTTATAAATAAGTTTAAAAACCAGTAATTTATTTAAAAAAATGAAGAACATAGTGGCTTTTGGAAACCCTTTATTGGACACAATTGTTTTTATCGCAAATAATCAACTTTTAAGCAAATATGAGTTAGAAAAAGACGGTCAAAAAGAAATCAGTTCCGAAGAAATGAAAAATCTTACAGAAGATATCAAAAATGAGTCGCAAAACAAAACTTATATTGCAGGTGGTTGTGCTCAAAATTCTCTCAGAGTTTTACAATGGCTGACAAAGAAAACACAGAATGTTGCGATTTTTGGTTCAGTAGGGAACGATAGTGAGGCATCTGTTCTTAGAAAATTAATGGAAATGGATGGTGTTACTACAAATTATGTTACTCAAGAAAATTTTACAACAGGAAAGACAATTTCTTTAGTAAATGGGGTTAATAGATCTTTAGTTGCACATTTAGGAGCGGCAGAAATACTTTTAGTAAGTGATATATCGAATAATAAAACATTCAAAAATTACATTAAAAACGCCGATTACATTTACATTGAAGGATATTTTTTAACAAAACGAGAAGATGTCGCTACCTATATTTTAGACTACTGTAATGATCTACAGAACATAGTTATTTTTAATATATCTGGCGAGTATGTATGTGATATGGTACCCAAAACTTTAAAATATTTCGTTGAGAATTCGGACGTTGTTTTTGGGAATAAAAGAGAATTTGAAGCACTTAGAATGATTTGGGGGTTTAGTAGTTTAGATCAACTTCTTGATTTATTAATAAAAAATGGTAAAAATAAATTAAAAAATTATGGAAACATCATTGTAATAACTGACGGAGCAAAACCTGGATGCTGCTACTATAGTAATGGACAAAAATATCAATTTAAAGTAGAAGAAATTGCTAAAGGTGATATAAAAGACACTACAGGTGCTGGTGATGCCTTTGTAGGAGGGTTTCTAGCTGGAATGTGCGAAGAAAAGTCTATTGAAGAGTGTACGAAGCTAGCATGTTATGCAGCTTCTGCAATTATTAAGCAAACTGGTTGTTCTATACCAAATTATTAGAAAATTAATAATATTCCTTCTTTATTTATTAGTAAGTTTATAATGGGAATGCTGGTGACAGTAGTTGTAAAGTGGCAAAATATTATTTCAAACATGTTAAGTTATTAAGTCATGAAATGTGATAGTATATATTAGTTAGCTTTATTATTATGTAGTGTGGGCACAAAATATATTTCATAAAATACTATATGCATTCAGAATACATTGCATTTAGGATAACTTTTGTTATTTTTTAAACTGTATTGTTTGTAAATATTTGTTATGAATAAAATAAAGATTAAAAATGCGATTGTTGAGTTTTAATTATAATTAATTTTCGCAACATTATTAAAAATCCATGATTAAAAACTTTGAATTATCTTTTTAGTCCCTTTGCGTGCCAACAATTTGTTCTCCCCTCGTATCTAGAGTGTGAAAAGACCTTGCCATGCCAACCTAAAGTCATTAATCTGTCAAATTGGGTTGATTAAATTCAATCTGCAGCAGACTTGTAGACTCTCATTGAAACCGCTTATTAATATTAATAATCGAACCGATTGCTCCTAATAACTCCGATCTTGTATCAATGAAAAATTTCGAGAAATTAAGAAAATCCGAAAAATTTGAAAGTTGGCCAGACTGTCGGAAAATTCAACCTGTGAACAGGTGTTTTTCAAAATGAAATGAGGTGAAATAGCACGTAAGACAAAAGAGGGGGAGAATCTCAAAACAGTTGAACGGCAGCATTTTGTTCTCACGGTCTCACGTAGTTGGGGAAGTGTGGACAGCGGAGTCACGGACAGTCTGTTATTGTTTGTTTACATCTTCAACAAAGTGGGCAAGCGACAAGCCAACATGGAAGTGCACAAGTTGTGAGGTTAACCGATGATTTTTTGATAAAGTGTTCAGTGAAAATGCCCCATCAATACGGATTACCGGGAATAGCCCATGCTCAATCACCCCCTACGCCGCCCCCACAGCATGGGGCTATGTATTCACGGTTTTCCGGGGCAGTGGTACCAGGTGGTTACAGGGGAGAGGACCGTCGGCTCACAAGGGAGGCTATGGAGAGGTACCTAAGGGAGAGATCTGACATGGTTATAGTTATATTACATGCTAAGGTTGCCCAGAAATCGTACGGGAACGAAAAGAGATTTTTCTGCCCTCCTCCATGTATTTATTTGTTTGGGGAAGGCTGGAGACTGAGACAGGAACAGATGCTTCGTGAAGGGGAGTCCGAACAGGCTTCACAGTTGTGTGCTTTTATTGGAATTGGTATGTGAAATCTATATTTTTTATTGATTATTTATAAATAAAAGTTGTTACAAAAGAGATTATTTTTTTATAAAGTTGCAATGTTCTACTCTTAAATATTTTATGGGATATTTTATTTACCTTGTTTACAAAATATTTATGTTCGAAAAATTTAAATAATTTTATTTTTATTGAAAATATATATAAATCGTTTATTTAGTCAAAAAAACTATTTTTTACATGTCAATACATCTTCACATTTAAAATATAAAAATACATAAGTATAGAATCAATATACATTTAAAATAGGTACAATAAAAATACAAAAGATACAGTACACTTACATGTCAACTATACAAAACATAATAAAAGAACAAGAAAAAAACATTCATTGCCCAGCAAGTACCCACACAGTTTTCTTTTAAATATTGCTGTGTTTGAAGAACATTTAATATACCTATCTTTAGGCAAATTATTAAAAGCCTGTACACCTTCAAAAAAACACTGAATTTTGTGTACATTTTTTCGTGGCCTTATAAACTCTTAAAATTTTTCTTATTTTGTGTATTGTGTTCATGAACATCCTGATTATAACTTAAAATATTTTGTAAATATACTGGGGAGATTCCTGATTTATTCTTAAATATAAATAGCAGGGGAATAGAATAGCAAATATTTTTTAACAGGCAACCACTGAAGCACATTCAACATGGAATTGATTGGTTCTAATCTTGAACAGCTCAGTATTATCCTCATACCTCTATTTTGCAACTTTTGCAATCGTTGCAACTCATTCTGGTTGAGAAAATACAATATAGTGGCACAATAATTAAAATGCGGTAATATTAAGAGTATTATAAATTATTATGTTAGCCCATTTGCTAAGATGTGGAGAACAGCACCTCAAATAGTTTTTAATTACTTTATTAGCATGTTTCTTAAATTTGTATCAACCATAACCCCTAAATATTTAAATTTTTCAACTCTCTGAAATTTTATTCCATCAACAGAAACACTGCGAGACTTCATTAATTTTTTTAAATTTCCAGTACCCCCAATTAACAGTTTTCATGAGTAAAATATATCAGTGTATCTGCAAATAAGTGTATTGGGCAGCAATGTCATTAATATAAACTAAAAACAATAGTGGACCTAAAACACTACTCTGTGGCACTCCCATATTATTTCTCTATAGTATCTGAAACACAGTTACTTTTCTATATTCCATATAATGACCCAACCAGTCCAGTACACAACCCCCCAAACCAATAGCTTATAATTTCATTAATAATCTACCCTTATTAATAGTTTCTAAAAACACCGCTAGTGTAACTAAATTATTTTCAATTGATAACTTCCAGTCATTCAACACCAACTGTAAAGCAGTTTCACAGTTGTGTTTACTACCTAATCCTGATTGCACATTACTTATCAAACTGTCCCCCTCTAAATAATCAATAATTTGAAGATATAATACTTTTTCTACTAGTTTTTCAACAACACTGATAAAATTTATCTGTCTTGAACCTTACTTGGATTCAAAAGTTTTGGTATCAGAATTATTGTAACAATCTTAATACCATCTGGAACTAAGCTTGTTTCAATAGAAAAATTTATAATATGTAATAGAGGTTGGGATAAACTCTCAAAATATTCTTTTAATAAAATTGTGGATATTTTGTCTCGACTATTTTTATTTGACATTGAAAAATCATAGAATGTTCATATTTTTTAATTTAATAATTTGTTGAGTTAGGAAAAATAGTTGTGCTAAGCAGATATGTTGTTACTGAGATTTCAACTATTACATTATTTATTTTATTCTTCATAAAAAATTCCTGCATGGTCGAAAATCTAAAATACCTACAAAAAATATTATTTTTTTACAAAAGTACCTATCATGTTATTGTGTAGGGCAAAATTTTCAAAATGTGTAAAAAATAATTAAATATTTTACTCTTACACATTCATATTTTTTAGCAAACCTCATATATAAGATTAAATTTGTATATAATGGTTGTATTTTAAGTTTTAAATTATGAAAATGTTTTTATGAAGAATAACTTATTTGTTAAAATGAATAATAAAAAGTTTTTCAGGAGATTTTTATGATTCCAACTTCTAGGTACTTTGTAATTTGTAAAAGAAATCAAATAAGTACCTATATTCTTATTAAGTTTATCATGAACTGTAATATATCAAAATTTAAACAAAAATTAATGTAACAAACCATTTTATTTTAAAATTAATTTGTACTGAAAAAATTTGAGACAGCCAAAAAATTTACTGTAATATGATCATAGAATGTTTTATATTTTGCACATAACTTTATGTAATAATGTATTCAAGATTTGTAAAATAAGTCATTTGTGAATATTGGGAGGATTAGGTATTGTTAATCATTATAGTATACCATATTGTGTAAATCGAGGTGTAAGTAAACCTTGCAAATGTCCAAATATTTCTCTATCAATCATTCTTATTCCAATCTATCTCCAAATTTTAAAAAATACGTGAACAACAAACATTATTTACAGTATTAACCTTATAGGTACACATAAACACATTTTTATATAGGGGAAATAACTTTTATTTTTAGTTTTACCAAAAATATTTAATATAGTATTAATGAAAAGTCCTGCTTATCCAAAAACCCTATGATAAGTAAACAATTTTATCTGTCTAATTTAAAGCCAATAAATTGTTTTGTATTAATAATTATTGTCAAGTCAAAAAATGTAACACTTATCTCAAGTTCTGTAGCACTTAATAAGATAAATTTGCTATTAGATAATTATAATTTTTTAAAAGTGAAAATATAATATAATGTCAAGTGTATATATTCCTGTAAAGTTATCAAAATATTGAGTGCATCCCATCTAATCAAAAAGTGTTTAAAATATGAATTACAGATAAAAATTATTCGAAATAATCAAATTTGCACTTTCCTCAAATTTCTCCATTACAGTAGATAAATGATGTATATTACCAAAATTATAGAGATTGACACCATAAACAACTTTTGTAAAAATAATTTTCTTCTATAACTATAAATAACAGAAATATACCTTAAATTAGAAAAAAAGTACTTGTGACCTTATTTTGATAGGCAACTTGGCAAAATCGTATTTCTCTATCAATAGTTATCTATAAAAATTGTGGTTTGATTAAATAACAGTTAAGTGCAGAAATCATATAGTTGGATGCCACTGAATGACAAATTGGTAAATTTTACATTGGTTTTAAGTTAATGTATTTTTGATTAAAATTTTGTAAGTAATTTGGAGTCCTTGTAAGCAAATAAATCATGGGTGTACAAGGATAATCCACTGAGTCCATTTTTGCCAAATTTTAGATTTAGTCCATTATTGTTTAGCCTTTATAAAAAAAAACATTTTGTCTAGTATAAACATATGTGCAGTGTGCTATAAGAAAAGTCCTTCATGTCAGGAATGTACTGTCAAATAGAAATAACAAAAGAGTACAGTCAGAGTGAGAAACTAAAATCAAGAGAGATAGTGCTACACTTCAGTTTATAAGTATTTAATATCTAAGGCAAAATATTAAATAGTATGTTAGAAAAAGATATCAGACTAACATGAATATCTCAAAATAATATTACTTAATTAATATATTTCCAACTTGTGTAGAGTTTATTGAATTTTTATGGTTGTATATGCCTGGTTGTTATTTTTTTTTTAATAATTTTGTTTTACTCTCCATCCTCTAAATTCTTCAGGTCCGTGAAGTTAGCACCGCCAAATCCGAATTTTTATAAAAATAAATTGCCATTCGTTTGTCCACGATTGTCCAACAAAAAATTTCGTTTGTCCACCCTTAAAAAAAAAGTTATAGCAAATTTAAAAATTTGAACCAAATTTCACAGCACCGCCATAAAATTTTTTGATAATTTCAAAGTGGCATTCGATTGTCCAGGATTTGTCCCCGTTTGTCCAACCAAAATTTTTGTTTGTCCTACCTCCAAAACAGAAATATTTAGGAAATAAAAAAATAATTCAAGTGGTTTTTAGGGACAACCTTAATACATTTCATACGAATAAGACATGACAATCATTTGTCCATACATTAGTTTCGTTTGTCCAGGCCCAATTTTTGTGTGTCCACCCTTCAAAAAAAAATTATAGCCTATTTAAAAATTTGAGCCAAATTTCACAGCACCGCCATAAAAGCTTTTTGATAATTTCAAAGTGGCATTCGATTGTCCACGATTTGTCCACGTTTGTCCAACCAAAATTTTCGTTTGTCCATCCCCCAAAACCGAGATATTTTAAAAATAAAAAAAATAATGCAGGTGGTCTTTGGGAACAACCTTAATACATTTTATACAAATTAGACACGACAATCGTTTGTCCACACATTATTTTCGTTTGTCCATATGTGGACAAACGATTGTCGTGTCTAATTCGTATGAAATATATTAAGGTTACTTTATAGGGGTAGTTTTTCTACTTTGTGAAATATATCTGTTATTTACGCTTGGAGAAGAAAATTCTTCAAATAAAAGTTTCTTGTAATATTATTCTCTATAATTTTCGCTCCATACATAATTTTCCTAAAATGGTCCGTATTCGAGAAATTTAACAAAAAGTGCAAAATTCGAAATTTTAAGAAAATTGTTCAAATAAAAGTTCTTTATGATACCATTCTATATAATTCTTGTTATGTACATGATTTCTCTAAAATGGACTGTATTCGAGATATTTGAGAAAAATGCAAATTTGAAATTTTGAAGATAACTCAAAAACGGATAAGTATAGAGAAAAATACTAAATTTTAAATTTATTCTATAATTCATCCTGCCATGAAATGATTAAAGTTTAAGCATAGTCGGAACGTCTAGGGGTACTTTATAGGGGTCGTTTTTCTACTTTGTGGAATATATCTTGTTATTTACGCTTGGAGAAGAAAATTCTTTATATAAAAGTTTCTTGTAATGCTATTCTCTATAATTTTCGTTGCATACATAATTTTCGTAAAATGATCCGTATTCGAGAAATTTGACAAAAAGTGCAAAATTCGAATTTTTAAAAAAATTGTTCAAATAAAAGTTTCTTGTAATGTTATTCTCTATAATTTTGTCCCATAGATAATTTTCCTAAAACGGTCCGTATTCGAGAAATTTGACAAAAAGTGCAAAATTCGAAATTTTAAGAAAATTGTTCAAATAAAAGTTGTTTGTGATGTCATTTTCTATCATTCTTGTTTTGAACATCATTTCTCTAAAATGGACCGTATTCGAGATATTTGTGAAAAATGCAAATTTAGAATTTTCAGTGTCTTCATTGGCAATGAATATGATATAAAAAAAATGTATTTAGGTCATCCTCTAAATATTCACAGGAGTGATACAGTAAGTTGAACAAAATAACTGGAAAAAGCCAGTAATAACTAGAAAAGTCATCAGATTTTTTAGTACCTTGTCCTATTTTGATTAATATTATATATATTTTTTTTTGTAATCTTATAAAATTGCCTGGCTCCTCGAATATGCCTTATAATTACAACAATTATTCTATTATTGTTCTAGGAAATTCCGATCAAGACATGCAACAACTGGACCTCAACAACGGCAAGCAATATTGTGCCGCGAAAACTTTGTACATTTCCGATTCGGATAAACGTAAACACTTCATGTTATCGGTGAAAATGTTCTACGGTTCGGGACACGACATAGGCGTATTTCATAGTAAACGAATTAAAGTGATATCAAAACCGTCGAAAAAGAAACAGAGTTTGAAAAACGCCGATCTGTGTATAGCTAGTGGTACGAAAGTGGCTTTATTTAATAGGTTAAGATCGCAGACTGTTTCAACTAGGTACTTGCATGTCGAAAACGGACATTTCCATGCCAGTTCGACGCAATGGGGGGCCTTTACGATACATTTATTGGACGATAATGAATCGGAAAGTGAGGAATTTCAAGTCAGGGATGGGTATATTCATTATGGGGCGACGGTCAAGTTGGTGTGTTCTGTTACCGGTATGGCCTTACCAAGGCTTATAATTAGGAAGGTAAGTTCGTTCTAGCCATGAAGATAGGTAATGAAACTGCTTGAATATTTTATTGTATAGGGGCAATGAACATTTTATGTACCTTTTTATCGTTTAAACTATACTTTTAGCAGCTGTATTCCAAGAATGTTAAGATTAGCCAACACTCATAACAATCTTGAAATATTTAACACCCCCCTTTCATAAATTTATAAAGCAATTAGTACTGAGCTTTATTCTTTGATCTTTAATGTAAATATGTTATTCAACCTTTTGTCTTTTTAAATCTTTTAAATTCTTTACCTATTTTAGTTTATATGTAATAAATTATACCACATTTGTATTTCAGCATCATATATATATTTCACTACATTTTAATTATAATTTAAAATTGTAATTTATTTCTCAAATGGGCTTGCCCGTAAATAAATAAATAAATAAATCCATTCCTGGACTTGTGTACGAAAAGTTAAACAAATTAGTAAGATTGTTTATGTTTTTATCTGTGTTCTCGATTTTTCTTACAAATAGAAATGGTGGCTATTATAATGTAACGTCTGTTAAGTCACTTTTTGAAGACACCACACCAAGGTTCTTTCGTAATCATGCACTAGGTTAATTCAAACTTCTAATGTCAAACTCCTTTTTATACACCAGTGCTGGTTTAACCTAACTTCGGGCTCTGGGCACTGGAGATTTAGGAGATTTAGTGTTTTTAACAAGTAAACACATGCTTGAATTATTAATGTTTATTGTAAAAACCATAAAATACATTTTTAAAAACAAAAAAAGAATAAAAACAAATGAAAAAGAAATGAACAATAAACAAAACAAAAATTTATCACTTTTTTCTTGACCTACTGTTACTATTGTACCTATACATATCTGCTCGCTTCGCACCATCTGTGTGGTGTCGACGTGCCGTGAAGACGAGGGCGAGAACATCACTTAAATTATATATATTTTTTATTATTTATTATTACTATGAGGTCGGGGCCCCTGGGTGCTAGCCCCAAGCGCCCAGGGGTAAACTGCGGCTCTCATATACAAATGTTTGCGCTCTGCTGCTGTGTTGCTGATCTATAAAGACTAGATAGAAGGAGGCGAATCAACAATGATCAAATATCTTTCCTTTTTATAAAGTTTGCTAAATTGATTATAGTCGCTGCCATTCACTTTCTATATAAATCAATGTAAAATGAAGTGATTTAGTAACATGAGTGACAAAAAACATCAAAGCAAGATTTACTTCATTCCAGATTGTAAAACGGGATACAAATCAGATGTAAAACTAAAGAAAACACAAGGATAAATCAATTCAATGTCTTTTTAAAGCTTCTAATGTAAGTAAAATAATGTATTTATATCTAAATATTATTTTATTGTAAACTAGTCACAACACGTATCACAGAGTGTAGTTTATTTTATTACAAGTTTCTATAAAATAAAATTTTGCAGGAATAGATGTTGACTTACAAACAACTATAATTATGCATTAAATTTAACTTACTAGAAAAGAAAATTTGTTTTTTATAGTTTTAATGTTAGATAAAGAGTTGAACCCCAATTTTGTCATTGTAAATGTTTTTTATAGGATCCTAAACTCTTAGAACAGTTCCTAGGGCCGATAAAGCACTTTCTAGAGATGAGGCTTTTGATTTAATTTAGTCAATGATGACGTGAGGTTTTTCTATTTCGTTTATCCGTTTTTTTGATCTTTCCCATTTGGTGAGTATGATATTGGGATCTGCAGTTAGCACGCGGTCCCAGTATTTGAAATCAAGCGCTCGGACCACGTGTTATCAAGATATTGCACGCCCAAAAACAATATTTGGAATTAAAGAAAAAAATTGCAGATACCATGAAACAATGTTTTAATAAGTTTCTAACTAGTATGTCAAATAAAAAGTTGCCGGTCCGTGGGGCCAGATTTGGCTTTACGACAGCGATCGTTAAGGTGTTAAGTTCCATAAACGAAACCCAAATGTCTCATATGTAACGTGCTAGAGAGACTAAAAGCTGCTTCACATCCTTGCTCATAGATGTCAGCGTCTGAATATTGTAGTTGTGATTGTACTGTACAGTTTTAGCAACACTTCAAACACGATTTTTGAGTTTCGCCACTATAGTTCTCAGCAGGCGAATACGGCGGACAACATAGTCTTTGTTCCCTTTTAAACTTTCCAAATAAATTTAAAACTGGTTCTTGAAGGACCTTAAGTCACCAATAGGGTCACTAGTCTAATTTGTGTCTTTTAACTATTTAGTTTTGGGTTGTTACACTAAAATAACTGTTTATGTTACTTTTATATAAAATAATAAAATAAAAACCTCAAAAATTGATAGTGTGTCTGCATATCATGTATCAGTGGTATTGAATAAATAAAAGTATTGTATATATCTCGACTTTATTTGGAACAAGATTAATTTTAACCAACTGTTATTAGTTCTGACAACGTAATTTTACATTGTTGCAATAAAAATAATAAACAAATGAATCATCATTATCAGATGGGCTGTACAAAATTATACCATTATTCCCATAATTTAAATCCATTTACTTTTTTATTTTACCAAGGTATTATTAATTTATAAATTATATGGTTTAAAAATAAAAATGTCATAACAAATTCTAAATAGTCTAGTGAACAAAGTAACTGGTTATTATCCTAATTAAATGATTTTTTTTTAAATATTCAAATATCTTAGTAATGTTTTTGATAAAAAAAAACTTGTGTGTTCACAGTATAGTAATTATTTATTCTAAAACAATAAAAAGTATAAATAAGTTGAGAACCAACAAAAAGCTAACGAGTCTTCAGAAATACCCGTATTTCAGTATTTCACGTGATCTGGTATTGTAGAAGACCTTGTGAAATTCCAATATTGACTTCTAGAGGATCATTATAAACATTTCTAATTGTAACAATTTACTTCTTATTCAAATAATTTGTAAATAGATCTACCATATTTGATATATTTTTCAAAAATATCAAATAGTTGCCTATGTGGAAGCTTAAGTGAAACCCATGTGAAACCGTACCAAAAACTTTTCCAAAATCTAAAAAGAAAACAATTATTCTTTTTTCATTGTTATCCAGGCATTTTTCACTGTATTTATAAGTTCAAACAAAGTATAATTTTCATAAATCTAAATTAGTTTTTTTTTGTAAAATATAATAAACCAGTAGATCCTACAAAGATGTTATTGTAAACATAATAGACGCATGTTCATACAGTTTACTATGATTATTCAGATAAAAGGCATGAAGTTAAAAATTTGTTACAAACACTGAACACCTTATTTCTAAGCATATAAAAAACTTTTGGTCATTCATCAAGAATCTAAAAAGAAGCTTTGGTCTATCAAATCTAATTAAGTAGGTCAAACAATATACAGTGAGCATCATAAGTCTTACCCCCCCTAACTAACTCGTTACTGAAGTCTTGTTAGGAAAATTGCCGAGACACGTCGATTTTTGATTTCTACAATGTACATTTTTGTATGAATAGTTTACCCTTAATTCCATCCCTTACTGGAGGGGAGCAACCCTTTCGAAAAATTTAAATGGCATGGGGTGGTGAGTGATAGCTCATTTGAAAGGGGGTTTTATTCTCTATTCAACCGTGCAAACATTTTTGAAATTTGCTTTATTACGTGTTGATTTATTATTGTTTGAAAATAACAAAACATCACAAATAGGAAAGCAACTAAACTAACAGTGACCTTATCTAATGGCAAAAAGTCTTACTTCACGTCTGAACCAAAACTGATTTATGCAGGGCCGAATTTTAATTCTAAGGATGAGTGCGCTACGTTAATTTCCGTTATTCTGAAACAAAAATTAGTCGAGAATTATTGAAGCAAATTTCAAAAATTTTTGCACGGTTGAATAGAGAATAAAACCTCCTTTCAAATGAGCTATCACTCACCACCCCATGCCATTTAAATTTTTCGAAAGGGTTGCTCCCCTCCAGTAAGGGATGAAATTAAGGGTAAACTATTCATACAAAAATGTACATTGTAGAAATTAAAAATCGACATGACCTGGCGATTTTCCTAACAAGGCTCAAGTAACGAATTAGATAGGGGGGTAACACTTATGATGCTCACTGTAGAATTAAGTGATCCCAAACACATAGCCTATGTTTTTGCAAACCACTTTCAAGCAACAACATCGATACTAGAATAGGTTTCCACATTGGTGCCATTAGATTTCTATTGTTTATAAACGGCGTAACAAATTGCTTCTTAAATAATCTCTATCTTTTGTTTGTTTATATTATAAAGACTGTACAATCAGATCTGGATAGCTTCATTAAATGGTATCAAATCAATCATTTGCTCTTAACCTTAGCAAATGTGCTATTATTAATTTTACAAGATCCACAACATTGTCAATATTATTTATAAAACAGATGATGTTGTATTAGATAGTACCCTCATCCATTGATGATCTTGACATCAGTCTCAAGTCTGACATTTAACCAAAATGTAGAATCTATTGTTTGCAAGGCATTTAGAATGCACAACTTTATTAAACGACACTTGTCTCATTTATGATACCAAGGTCATTATGTCCCTTTACAATTGTTAGCTTCTATGCATTTTTGAATGTTGTGCTGTAGTCTGAATACGTATCTACACAGATTACATCAACAGAATTGAACAAGTACAGTTCATCAAGTGTATTCTCTTTAAGTTTTGTTTTCCTTACTAGAATATTTTATACGAAACGCGTTTCTTTATTAAGTGGTATGCAGCCACTTAAAGTAAGAAGTAAACAATCTTTTCTTTTGTTACTTTTTAAATTACTCAATGGAGTAACTTCTTTTGGAAAAAATCACTTTTCTGACTCTGTATTTTTATTCAATTTTTACTAACTACTAAGTAAATCTACTTCCTCTTACTTATGTTCCAATTAAAACGACCTAACCCCTAAACATTCTTTACAGGTGGACAAACAACAAGCCTTATTAGAAGCCGACGATCCCGTATCCCAACTTCACAAATGCGCCTTTTACATGAAAGACACCGAACGAATGTACCTATGCCTCTCCCAAGAACGTATCATCCAATTCCAAGCCACCCCTTGTCCCAAAGAACCCAACAAAGAAATGATCAACGACGGAGCATGCTGGACCATCATATCGACCGACAAGGCTGAATACCAATTTTACGAAGGTATGGGACCAGTTAGATCTCCCGTTACCCCGGTGCCTATAGTACATAGTTTGCATTTGAACGGCGGTGGCGACGTGGCAATGTTGGAGCTTACCGGTGATAATTTTTCTCCTTCCCTGCAAGTTTGGTTTGGTGATGTTGAAGCTGAAACTATGTATAGGTAAGTCATATTTTTTTGGAATATTTTTATTCATGTGTTATTTTATCTTCGTATTTATTTCAGATGCCAGGAAAGCATGCTTTGTGTAGTACCTGATATATCGCAGTTTCGCGGCGAATGGCTATGGGTACGTCAACCCACTCAAGTACCCGTTTCATTAGTCAGAAACGATGGTATTATCTACGCAACGGGTCTCACTTTCACGTACACCCCCGAACCCGGTCCAAGGCCTCATTGCGAACCGGCAGACGAGATCATGAGACACGGCCCAGGACATGTGCAGGGACAGAGGAACGTTGCTGTGGGACAAACCCAGTCCCAACCCGCCATCACGGAAACAGCCTGGAATTCGCATGGGATGCATTAGAATGGCAGTGATATTAAATTTGCACGGTAGGAGAAATATGTATATGCCATATTTTTAGGTGAAAGTTTTATCTTTTGAAAATTGAGTATCATTTTAGAGAATTGGAAATTTATGCAATTTATGTTGGTTAATCGTCGCTTACCCACCTAAGATATGAAGTTGTTTGTAGATGATCAATTATAAAGTTTTAATTAATAGAAAAGCTACCAGTGAGTTATTGACATATGGGTAGCTATTCTGGAATTTGAAGGAAATGAAAATAGTTTGTCTTTAAATTTTTTTTTTGCATTTTCTTATAACGTGAGGCGCTAATATCGTTTATTTAATTTGACGGCTGTACTAGGTACCGAGTTTTTTCATGTTGTATGGTGTGTGTTTTGTCTAATGGCCTTGATCTCTGATCAAGTGACTAGAGCTAATGTTCTTAAAACAAACTTAGATTACTACAATAATTAATGAAGGAACTTAAAAATCCAGTGAAAGTACAAATTTTATTTACAATAACAAGCGTTGAAACAGTTGTTTTACAATTAATTATATTTATATTTTAGGCGAATTCCATTTTTTTATTATACAGGGTGGGTCGCCGATAGCGCCTCAGTCTGTAGAGCCAAAACTATGATTATTTTTTTTTAAATCTGTTTTCGCAGCAAGATGTGTATCAGAAAAGTCAACAATTTCAAAATAATTTTAATTATACAGGGTTCTTCAAGAAAGTGATACATATCAAAGATAGAGAGAAGTTTTTGCACTAGTATATTGTTACGCTGGTTTTTGGTATCACAATTTATTTCAGTTCAACTTTACAATAACTCAATTCAACTTTATCAATAACGATACAACTGATAACATTAATATGTAACCTCTGTCATAAACTGCCCCATTCTGATGTCAGGTCATCGACTTCTATAGCTTGCCTCGACCTTCTCGAACAATCCGGACTTTTCTTTGACAAGGAATGACATTTCGAGACATTTCTGGATTATACTGTCTTTTTTATTTACTCGTACCTTTACCTATGACGACCGCAGCACGCTACAGGGTGCTGCGTAACAATATTGAAGTAACTTACTTTTTATAATGTTTTAACTGAAATTATATTTCTCTTATTATTTTCATTTATATTATAATAAATACGATTTTTTGTCTGTTTTAACCTAACTTTTAGAATCATTTCATTATAGGTATTTTCCTTTCATTGAAAGTAGCACTGGATCGATATTTTCATTTATTCTTCTATACTTTTGAAGCAATGAGAAAACATTTATAAATGCAATTGATAAAGACATTTCATAGCTACAGTTTGGATAGGTGCTCTCTATACTATATTATTTTTTTCTTTTGAAAAATATAGAAATATAAACAAAATTTTACAATTTTTAATATTAATATTATTAAAAAATATTTTGTACTTGGTTTTCACTAGGTATACACACATTTATTTATTTTTTCAATTATAATTCCGTTTGATGGAATATGGAAAGTATTGGAAGATTCCAAGAATAGGTATATGAAATTTAGACAGTTTCATGTACACAGTCATAGTGTATGTAATAGAATGTATATTTTATAAAATAATAAATTAATCTTGTAAATTTTTATCTCAAAGTATTTTGAGACGGCCTTAAGTGACATTCTGTATGCAATGTGTCCAACTAGAAAAAGAGATACGTACATATGGTAAAGTTTAATAAAAACTCAATATATTTTTGAATGCGTAGCGATCTAAAAAAGGTTTTTGAGATTTCGATGTACTTAAATTATTAATTTTTTTCAAAACAAGTTCCATTTTGTTTAATATTCGTTCAAATTATGGTTTGAAAATGTCGGCTCATTGTTCATTGATGGCCAATGATTACAAAATGACACACTACGTTCATGTCTTTAAAATAAAGCTCCTATATAATTGTATTCCATGATTAATACTGTTTTTGATATATTAGAAAAGTTCCCAAAATGATTCGCCTAATTAAACAGACATATAGAACCATAAAAATTCAATAAAGTCTTCACAAGAAAGTTAAATTAAATATTAAATCATTTTATTTTGAGATATTCATTTTAGTCCGATATCTTATAGGATATTTTGATCACCTAAAGCAGAAAACCGCTCTCCAGAAAAATTGTAGTCAACTGTGATCTTTGTGACACTTCTTTTGAGCGATTGTAAAAAGTGTGTATGAATTGTTACTATACATTTTTACAATAATTGTACCTGGGTCGTTGTCGGAGAAGGATCTGGTGCCGACTGTCTGGTTTAATACACCATGAACGTACGAAATTTTTATAAAGTATCACTTTTTAAGTCTTAAAACAAATTTTTTTAATTTTATTAATAAAAATAAGTCTAATACTAAATAAATTAAAACACAGTCTGTTTGCAATCATTCTGACCTTCCCCTTTATGGCTAGGTTAGGAGGTGGAAGGTTTGGAATATTTACCATAGAGGCTGTCAGTGTATTTCTGCCAGACCCTCTTCTTCTGAGAGAGTATTAAGGGCTGTTTTCTGGTTTATAGATAATCATGTGTCTTTAGTTAGAACAAACAAAAGAGAAACGTTTTATGTTCTCCCTCCACTTTATTCTGAGAGATTGAGTAAAGAATTTCAAACAAAAAAAAAAATAAGATGTTTGTTAGTCAAATTCTAGAAAACATTCTCTTTTTATATCTTCTAATAACAATCGTCATAGAAATGAGAAAATAATGTCAAACAGTTTTTCAGGTCCGTTTTTACTTTATTTTATTTGACAAACCGTTTCAATTTAAAAAATAGGTTATGTTTGTAGTATTTTCAACTTTTTCTACTACTCGTTTTTATACAGATAATTATTTTTTTTAATAATTTCTCTGGTAGTATGCATTTCTTTAAAATATTTGTCAAAACTCATAAAGTATAGGAATTCTCATAGAAGGTTGCGTTTACAGGGTCGACAAGAGGGGGGGGGGTAGCAGGGAGCAATTCGCGGGGCCCGGGCTCAAGTGTGGGCCTGGCAGCTCTGGTGTGAGGACGTTTGTACCGTTGCACAAGATGGAGGACTACAGAGAAGAATAAAGAGAAGAAGGAGAAGTTTTTGCTTGAGAGAGCCTAATTTTTTTGATAAAATTGTCGCGGGGCCCGACCTGCAAAATTGTCCCGGGACCCGACCTGGCTCTCGGCGGTCCTGAGCGTTTATTTAGTCCAAAAATTAAATAAAATACAGCCTGTCTTAAAAAAAAAACTTAGTTCATTTTAAACTAGGTCCCTGCTTTCAAAACTAATTTTCAGCATAAACCACATCTCTCACAACTCATTCATAAATACAGTTTGCTTACTTGCCAACATCTTTTTATTTGCACCCCCTGAAGAGTGCGAATTCTGACAGCCCATTGATAAGAAGATGCTTCTGTACTTGGCAATAACCAGTCAGGCGCAGATTCTTTCTTGTCATAGTCAAAGTATTTGTTTGCCAAAGGATAATTTAAAAACTCCCTGGCAGGTCTGCAGCTTCTTGTTTCTTCCCATCTTTCCTTGCATTTCATAAGGGAATGTTCTTTAATTAGGTTTGTCACTATCGATGTCAGTCCAATAAAAGGGCCAGGTCCAAAAACTATTTGATTGGCTGCTTTCTTGGCTAGGAAATGAGCAAGACGGTTACCTTTTGATGTTGATTGATACTTCGAACAAAGCTTAACATTCCAGTACTAACCCTGAGTAAATTTGTAGTCCGTCCAAGGTGCGTAGATGAACATGTTTCTTCCAGTGATATTATTTCCATTGATTTCTTTTGCTGCTATGAAAATCCATGTTTAAACTACACTGGCGCTACTGCTCACATTCCATTTTAGGTTTAAGAATCTGGAGTATACTCTACATCCTGAGCCTTGTTTTGGGACCGTCGGTGTAGATATGAATCGTACCTGCCACTTCTGGGTCTTGTATTTGTTCTCTTAGAACTTTATATGGCTTAGGGAAGATATATCTCGGTAAGATGGAATCCATGTTCACTTAAAGTTGAGTTCTATAATTTTGTGAGCTACTTGCATTCTTTCGCATAGTATGTTCTCAGAATTCCCTGTTTGCAGAATGATCAGATCAGCTGCATATTCTAATGTGTAGTGACTGTCATTATTGAAGCGGCTGATGAGGGTGTCGAGGACCAAACTCCACAGTAGAGGTGATTGATAGCACCCTTCTCTGTGGACATCTCCTTGCAACTAAGCCTCTTATATTCGTATCTTGTACACTTATGTTTACTGCTTGCTTTGAGAGTGTATGTTATGTATCCACTCACTATATGTGGAATATTCCTGTTGTTTAGTAAGTGTATTATCTTGGGAAAGCTCGTCTTATCAAAAGCACCTTCTATATCTATGAAAACACCTAAGACGGACTCTTCAATGTCCAGGGATCTCTATCCAGCTAGCAACTAGATGAAGATCTGCCTGGGATGTATGCATATTGATTTGGGTGAAGTGGTGTTGTTGTAATCACCACATCTCTTATATATCTTTCGCATAGCCTTTCCAATGTTTTCATGGAAAGCGATGTCAGGCTAATTGGTCGATATTTTTTTGGGACAGTGTAATCCATCTTTCTATGTTCGGGTATAAAGACTACCTATACCTCTCTCTATATTTGTGGGATATTTCTGAAAGTCCACAAGGATATGACTAAACTTACCATATACGGTGTGAGTACTTCCAGACTCCACTGAAGTAGGGTTGGATAAATACCGTCAATGAGAGACACTAGATATTGCCCATTTAATTTTGTCATCGTTTGCAATGTCTTTAGCAGTTTGCCAATCGTAGACCGATGGATTGTATTCTTCCTCTGCCCAGTCTGCCACTCTGTGATGACCGAGTGTATTGACAGCAGAAGTTTTATGATTTCTACAAGATTTGAAGTTCATATGTCGTCCTTTTTGAGAGTTGGCAACGTGGTAGATCGACTGTATTTGTATCCACATTAGCTTAGAATGGGACACAGTCTTGACGATTACGGTGTTCGTCAAAAAGT